CCTTCCTCTTTCGAATGAGACGTCATCCGACCCAAAAGCTGCTCATATAAGGACAAAATCTCTTATTTCGGAATTGCATTCCCACAAGCGAGTTCCGCCATTACATGGGTAATAGCAGAGCAAGTCACGTGACAAATTTAGTTCAGGCAGTCGCTACGAGATGGCGCCTAATCAAGAGGGCTGTGAAGGTGAAACCATACCAAAGTGAAGCGTTAGCTTCGATACATAGGCCCGTCGCCCCCCACCCCGAGAAAGCCAGATGCTGACAACCTAACCCATACTTCGATTCTGCGGCTGTATTTCGTTCATTTTTTCCTCGACTTTCGACGTTTATATTAATAAATGTTAACAGAATCACGTCCGATTTTGACCAGAGCGCACTGCATTGGACCTTCCTCTTTCGAATGAGACTTCATCCGACCGAAAAGCTGCTCATATAAGGACAAAATTTCTTGTTTCGAAAACCCATATTTCGGGCCGAATTGTGTCGGTATACCGCGCGCTGCATTGCTCGTGCCTACCTCCTTCGGTGTCTTTCAATCGTCGATTCATTTTTGCTCATTTATTATTAACAATAAATCCAACATAGAGTCTCCCACGAAGCGGGATCTATGCAGGTGATTCAGTATTGGAATCGTACAACTCTTTTAGTAACCTAAAAAGACCTCGATTCTGTGGCTGTATTTCGTTCATTTTTTTCTCGACTTTCGACGTTTATATTAATAAATGTGAACAGAATCTCGTTCGATTTTGACCAGAGCGCACTGCATTGGACCTTCCTCTTTCGAATGAGACCTCATCCGACCCAAAAGCTGCTCATATAAGGGCAAAATCTCTTATTTCGACATAATTGAGTACATCGAAATCGACAGTAATGACGGCGAACTTCCTTAGCGTCTAACGTAGTGAAATAAAGAACGCTAGTGTGAGCCTTTCCTTCTTGCTCTTGTAAAAGAGAAACAACTGAAACACGACCTCGCGATAAGCGGCATACGATTCCAAGCCTCGACTGCCCCAGCATTTTTACTTTCCGACCTATGTAAGGTACAATAAGGAAATTTATGAAGTATCATAATGTAAAAAAAATGTCGAAATTTTTTTTTAGCGGAAATACACGTTTTAGGACCCCCTGATCATATTGTGACTATTAAAAAAAAAGACTTTTTTTTTGTTCCTATTACATATAAATGGCTGAATGAATTTCAATGAAACTTTACATTTCAGTTTTATGTTCTCGTTTCAAGGTCTGATTAGATTTTGAGCGTGATCAGCCCCCGGATAATGATGATTATACGACTTTTAGTTTTATAATTATTTCGATACATATACATTATTTGTAACAAATTTTGGGATTATTTAGACAAGGGGGAGGTCTCACCGATTTTGATGATTTTTGAATATGTTGTAAAAATCAACATTTTGAACAACTTTTTCCTATACATATAACCACCGCTTGGCCTTATTTTTCGAGATTTTTCTTCAAAAAGATTGCTGCTACTGCAATGAATTTTGTCTATATGTACATGTCCGTGACTCTGTATGCGTCAGTCCACGATCGCCGATTTTTTCTCTTGTTTGTGACAAGAAATAATGCACAATGTGTGAAGCTAAATCTAGTTCTGTATTGCTGTCAATGGTTCGAATATTCCGAAGTATGGAACTCGCCAAATACATTATGTAGGCTATTTAGCTGAATTCTTCTTCCATCGACAATATGATTTTAATGATCGAATAATGAAATGTTTCCCACTTCTGATAATATCAATAGAGAAAATTGAAATAGAAAATGAATACGTGGCCGACCGCCTTACGGCGGCCGGTATAAGAAAATCTAACCCAGACCTAATCCATTATATTAGTTACTAGGTAGAATAATTAGGTTTATAAGGGTTAGATGTTTTAGGCACACCCATTGTCGGCCGCCTCGATGCATCTATAGAAACAATGAACAATCGGCGATTGAACGCTTACACACACGCTGCCACAGCATGTACTTACGTATAGATAGAATTCATTGTATGTAGTAGCAGCGATCTTTTTGAAGAGAAATCTCTGAAACTAAGGCTGAGCGGCGGTTATATGTATAGGAAAAAGTTGTTCAAAATGTTGATTTCTATAACATATTCAAAAATCACCGAAATCGGTGTTACCGTCCGTAATCTAAATAATTACCCACATTTAATATTTAATAATCGTCAAGCACAAATTACTACAGAAAGTTATCGATTCCATATGGATCTCGGAATCGATCAAGTTTTGAATCGGCCAATAGTTTTGCGAGTTTGGAGTCTGACAATACTTTCCAGGTTTTCAAATGTTTCCAATCCGGCTAGAGCGCGCACGCGTTACCTCTCTACTTGAGCGAATATTCAAAGTAAGTATTGCAGCCTTTCGCTACATTATTGTCTACAATTTCATACCCTACATTATTCACGAAAATAAATGTTACTTTATTTTGTACAGTAAAATTTTCAAATGAATGCATAGTAATCAAGTTTTTTTGGAAACATTATTGTGGAAGATTTTAGAGTGGGGTTGCATGTTGATTAAAATAAAATATTGCCGCGAAAGTCTTCTTCATTTATATACACGCTTCGTGGGAGAGTATGTGTTGGATTTACTGTAAATAATAAATGAGCAAAAATGAATCGACGATTGAAAGACACCGAAGGAGGTAGGCACGAGCAATGCAGCGTGCGGTATACCGACACAATTCGGCCCGAAATATGGGTTCTCGAAACAAGAAATTTTGTCCTTATATGAGCAGCTTTTCGGTCGAATGAGGTCTCATTCGAAAGAGGAAGGTCCAATGCAGTGCGCTCTGGTCAAAATCGAACGAGATTCTGTTCACATTTATTAATATAAACGTCGAAAGTCGAGGAAAAAAGTCGTGGACTGACGCATACAGAGTCACGGACATGTACATATAGACAAAATTCATTGCAGTAGCAGCAATCTTTTTGAAGAAAAATCTCGAAAAATAAGGCCAGCGGTGGTTATATGTATAGGAAAAAGTTGTTCAAAATGTTGATTTTTACAACATATTCAAAAATCATCAAAATCGGTGAGACCTCCCCCTTTTCTAAATAATTGCCAAAATTTGTTACAAATAATGTATATGTATCGAAATAATTATAAAACTAAAAGTCGTATAATCATCATTATCCGGGGGCTGATCACGCTCAAAATCTAATCAGACCTTGAAACGAGAACATAAAACTGAAATGTAAAGTTTCATTGAAATTCATTCAGCCGTTTATATGTAATAGGAACAAAAAAAAAAAGTCTTTTTTTTTAATAGTCACAATATGATCAGGGGGTCCTAAAACGTGTATTTCCGCTAAAAAAAAATTTCGACATTTTTTTTACATTATGATACTTCATTTTCCTTATTACCTTACATAGGTCGGAAAGTAAAAATGCTGGGGCAGTCGAGGCTTGGAAACGTATGCCGCTTATCGCGAGGTCGTATTTCAGTTGTTTCTCTTTTACAAGAGCAAGAAGGAAAGGCTCACACTAGCGTTCTTTATTTCACTACGTTAGACGCTAAGGAAGTTCGCCGTCATTACTGTCGATTTCGATGTACTCAATTATGTCGAAATAAGAGATTTTGTCCTTATATGAGCAGCTTTTGGGTCGGATGAGGTCTCATTCGAAAGAGGAAGGTCCAATGCAGCGCGCTCTGGTCAGTATTGGAATCGTACAACTCTTTTAGTAACCTAAAAAGACCTCGATTCTGTGGCTGTATTTCATTCATTTTTTTCTCGACTTTCGACGTTGATATTAATAAATATGAACACAATCTCGTTCGATTCTGACCAGAGCGCACTGCATTGGACCTTCCTCTTTCGAATGAGACCTCATTCGACCCAAAAGCTGCTCATATAAGGGCAAAATCTCTTATTTCGAAACCCCCTATTTCGGGCCAAATTGTGTCGGTTTACAGCGCGCTGCATTACCCGTGCCTACCCCCTTAAGCCTCTAGATTCAAATAATATTGTTGATTATAAATATAAATAATTTTCAGATCAAAATTTAATTACCAAATGATTTATTATTATCACACTTTCCCCCTGTTACTATACGAAGCATCCGTTTCTCGATATATCTCGATCTACCATGCGATTCATAACTAATTCTATCGTTCGAAATACTTTATAATGTAAGTTAAAATGTAAGTATTATGAGAATATTACCAATAGATCGAGGTTCTCCTGATTTAAACAAGGCGAAAGACAATCGGTGCTGATTCAAACCTTTCGTCTTACAACATAGTATAACCGGCTTCGACAAGTTTCGACAAGTTTATTTTCTGTTGAAGTGTTTGCCCGGAACTACGACCATCGTTCGTCTCGTATTACCGGAAGTACGATATCAGCGTCGCGAAATAGAAACTTTCTCAACTACTGTGAATAATAAGTCCGTACAGTAAAATATTACACATAATAAATTTAAAATAACTCTCCTAATAAAGAATGCACGTCAAAAATTTTCATCGTTGCGATCGTAACGCGATCTATTTAACTTAAGAGGTCGCGCCATCTTGAAGGACCCAAAACAAGCGGTATCTTTACAAATTTTTTACAGGAAATATGTACGTTCAATCGAAACGACCTATTTACCACGAACAAATCAGTTGAACTTAATTATTGTATTAGTAATTTAATAAATGCATCTAGGTACATAAAAAATCGTTTTATTCGTAGTACAATTTTTTATTTTACTCGTGTTACTCTTATCCATTGCTACTTACCTCTTTTTCAAAACAACTGAATTCGTCACATCAACGCTTATCTATACTGTTAAATTTTATTCCACATTATTTCTTGCGTGTTCGATTGTAAAAAAAAAGACATTTTTAAATATAATACACATCTGAAGTAAGTACAAAATAGATACATACGACGCATAAATACACTTTTAGTAACAATTAAATTGTTTATTAGTAAACTAGTTTAATATAGCACAGAACGAAGTAAAAATAAATTTCAAATTTAAAAATTACAAATACTTTAATTGAATAATTATTTTCACTGTAACCAAATAACCCATGCTTTATGGTAAGATGTACGTATTTACAGAGTGGACTATTAGTGACATTATAATAATACGTTCACCAATTTATAAAATTCTATCTAAAAGGACTAAACTTACTGTTCCAAATTTCTTATTGAAAATTTGATTTGCGCAAATAAACCTTACATGTACGTAAAATTGTCAAAAAAAAAAAAAAAAACTAATACAAGAACAAGAGTATTTTTCCTTCTATTATGGACAAGTGAATTTAGAAACGCACAACCCAAATATTATAAATCGTAATTACAATTTGTATTTAACATTTTAATTACTACACACTTAGGTTACCTATCAATCGAGCAACATCATGTTTTTCGTCTAGCGAAGAATCCTATAAATTATACATAGGTAATTGTATATTGGTATATAACCTAATATTACATCTTAATCAAAGGAATTTGATGTGTAGTATAAATTTTTATGTCGATTAGTACTTTAATTGATATCCATTTATTTAACTAAGCCCATTTTTTTAGCTTCCACTTCGTAAATTAATAACCTCCACATTTTGACTACAAACACTTCTGCTTCTTCATCCAATACCTAAAATATATTTTGTCATGTTATAAGATTAATCAATTTCCCAAACAGAATTAATTAAATGAAAATCAGTTACCATCTGTACATCGTCAAGTATACCCTGAGGAGAGCTACCGGCCATTACTTTGCTACAAATAAAATCTACTAATGTAGGTTCAGGTTCTCCAATATATTCAATAATCTTTTTGTTAATCCACGGCCTTATCCTCTTTTCCATTAACGTCTGTAAAAGTTAAGGAATAAGTTAAAAGTAGGCTTTACTAACTATAAACGTAATACAAAAACATAACTGAAAAACATAGTTTACATTATCTATTACAGCCCAATCTAGTTGATATCCGAATAAAGCGTTTTTATCTGTAGGTATCTTGTCAATAAGGGATTTTATGTGTTTTCGTTTTTCTTCTTGACTTTTTGTACTTTCTTCTTTCCCAGCTTTCGGAGCTTCCTCGGTCGACTTTTTCTTTTTCTCTTCGCCATAATCTGAAATATAAATCGTATAAAAAAAATTGCAGTTTACACGAACAGTGTCAGCCGCGCGATAAAATTTACCTAAAGGAACTAGTTTACGCTTCTTCGCGTTATTAGCACTATCGTCGTCATCATCATTATTAAATACATCCTTGACGTCGATTCGACCTTTCTTTCTAGTTTGATTTGTCGGTTGCGAATTAACTGTAACAGCTGTACTCGGACTAGCTGGGGTTTTATTACCGACACCATGGTCGCCGCCTCGATTACCGCCACTTCCCATAGCAAATGGTACAAAGTTACCTGAAGTAACATGACCGTGTCATTTAAATAAAGAATTTACTATTGTACCGATGAAAAAAAAATTATTCTGTACTCACTACTGCTTGTTTTTTCTGGTTCGCTAACAAGAGACATACGTGAATCTTCATCTAATGTGGGTGGAATGGATTGTGCTGATGGTGTGGCTGTTTGATGGGAAGGCGACGATCTCGTACCCTTTACACTCTCTCTATCAGTTTCCACGACTTCTTCGTTCTCTTCGCCATCATGGTGATGATTCTGATGATGACGATGATGTCTTCTGTGATGATGATGATGTCGCGGAGGTGTCCTAGATGGCACTTCCGGCTGCGAAGCTTCGTCAAATTGCACACATTCATCACTGTCACTTTCGATAGGCTCAGTCTCTATAGGTGGCATAACTTCCTTCTCCTTTTTCACTACCTTCTCGTCTTCTTCGTCAATTATTGTAATCACTGGTTTAGGCTTATACTGTTCCTCCCTTTCTGCTTTTAACTAGAATATAGTATCGATTTATATTACTCGGTAAATTTTGATAAACAATTATATTTTACATGTGTTATAATAAAATAGAAATATTATTAATAGATCTGATAGAAAAATAAAATATTCTATTCGAAATTTTAAACATTAAATAACAATTAACATTTGCGGGAAGAGAAAAAAAGAAAAGTCTCGTTTAATGTCCTTGGATGTCCTACTATTAAACGGATCACCCTGTATGATACTTAAAAAGTATTTTACCCTTTCAAACTCCGCCGCTGGATCTGGATGAGAAGCATCAGCATAAAGTTTATCACGAAGACGTTGAAGCTCCTGTCGCTCTGCGCAACGATCCCGTGAATCGGCTTCCGCCTCGAGTGCTCTCTCTTCCAGACGACGCGACAATTCTTTGCCTTTGTAATACTTGGCATCGTCCCGATCATCATCGTAATCTTCAAGGAATTCTTTCAAGCGTTTTGCCTCCCTTTCTCTCGCCTCCCGTTTCGCTCTACGTTTCTCCGCCTCTTTTTCATATTCCTTTTGTTTACGCCGTTCTCGCGTCTCCCATGCTCTCAAACGCTCTTGATACGCGGCTTCTTTCTCGCGTGCTCTTCTCTCGTTCTTTTTCCTCTCTTTCGCCTCTTCCTCTTCTTCCCTTTCGCGCATGATTTCCCTTTCAGTCTTTCTCGCCTCTTCCCTTTCGCGTTCCCTTTCGCGCTCTCTGTCACGTTCCCTTTCCCTCTCTCTTTCTCGTTCTCTGTCCCTCTCACGTTCTCGTTCACGTTCCCTTTCACGATCTCGATCTCTTTCTCGTTCTCGATCTCTATCCCGATCTCTGTCTCTATCACGATCTCTATCGCTCCTCTGACGATCCCTATCTCGTTCTTTAGACCTTGAAAGAAAAAAACAATTGTTGACATTCTGGTGTGTCGAATTATAGCGATGCTTTGGAAATTGACCGATTACTATCACCGCCAATTCTTGGAACCGACTTTCCGTTTGTTCCGACGGCCAAGTATGTTTATATTTTCAAATCTACTCTGCCATTCCTTCAACTTTGGCCGGTCCTAAACGTCAGCCAATATCCAAGGCATTATGTCTTATTTAATATTTACAAATCATTATCAATAATTTTAATATTATTTAAAATTCGTCTTTGCTCCTCTTCTCCCAAATATATTACAAATGTAATGTTCAATTCTATTGTATTAAATACTGTTTTTAATATTACGTGAATCAATCATACATAATTAATGTATTTAGTAATTGTTAAAGAATATAATTTCAAAATCAAAATTAATCTTTCCATCGTCATGATACATTGTTAATACCTGGATTTAGACCGCCTTTTATCCCTTCTACTACTTCCGGTACTACTACTACGGCCTTTGTGAGATGTAGGACTACCAGGATCACCATCCTGTTCATCTTTAGTACTGCTGCCATCTCGCCTATCCCGTCGCTCCTTTTCACGCTTTTCGCGCTCTTCTTTCTCGACTGCTTCTTTTTTCCGTTTCACTTGGGCCTTCTCCTCCTCCTGCTTCTATAAAACACAAAAATAAAAGAATAGGTGAGACCAAATAATCGAAACAAACTTATCAGGCTGTGATAATAAAACGCAAAAACTAGCAATCGTATTCTCCTGAGTTATAAAAATTAAAGGATAGAGAAAACGTTACTGTAAGTGTAAAGTTAGTTAATGTATATAAAAAGTAATGGTAATATCTACACTATAACAGTGCAGTATTATCCTTTCCTTTAAAGTAAAATCAAATGCCCTCATACGTACGTATATGTATATGTATATACATATTAATAAAATATAAAATACTTCACATTTAATATCTGCAAAGGTAGTACACGTTGTTTAAAAAGTAATGTTGAACAAATTCTATCAATGTATGCTAAAACATATGGAAAATTATATTAACAGTTTTATGTTCAATATCCCCGTAGCACCCGCAAAATGACGAACTTTTATTGCTCGGAACGAACGCTTTGCAAAGAAGTTTGAATTCCTCGTAAAAAAAAACGAAGAACTTATTGTATAAAATTAATTATTTCAATTTTTCGTAAACAGTTTTAGTATTTAATGTTACAAGTATTACAATATTTAACGATTACTAGTTGCACAAAAATTAATCACATGTCAAATATCATAATTCTGTTCATCTCAATGAGGTATACTCACTCCACTGGAGCATGCTCAGTCAGCAGCATCTTACACGAAATCTTGTTTATATATCAATTACCTAAGTGCAGGTATAAATTTTGGAAACAAGCATAAAAAATTTCTTAAGCTCTACTTAAACTAAAAATACCTTAATACTAACAGACGCATCGTAGAGGCCACCCAATGTACTTACAACATTGCAAATGTGCCTGTAAATCAAGTGTCTAAAACTATATAAGTCTAAGAGTCGAAAGGGGTGAATATTTAGATTTCTTGTCAATACTCAATAATTATTAGAAAGTATTATACCAATCAGAAGCGGAGTCATCACGAAGAAGGGATTCCACCAAAACATCTTTCACTTTTGCCAAGAAACTGTCACACGTCTGTCAACTTTGTTTTCTTCTGGCTATGCACAGCTGATGCAGCAAACTGTTGGATATCAAATGCACAATAGTTTGCCCACCCTTATCGTCCCGTATTATCAACGTAACGTCTTAGAAATAAATTAATATGGTTCATCCTTATTTGATATAATAGTATCGATAATGGGTTACTGCTTGGAGAGTCCAAGTACCGTAGACTCTGATGAATATTGCCTCAAAAAATACTTCTATGTAACACTCTTTAAAAAAGAATAGTATTGAAAATTAAGCAACGTATAAAAGCAATAATATATTTATGTATGCATTGTCATTTTATATAATGGAGCATGCTCTATGTCAAAATGATAATAAAAGTATAACAGCAATTAATAAGAAAAAGCGTTTCTTGACCTATAAATTGCTTTTTCTTAAATTCTCATAACCGAATATCCATACAGTAACCCATACTCTTTTAAACTAATAAGGACAGAGTAACTGAGTGCACAAAAATAGATGCACTTATGAGGAGAAAACAGACTGTTGAAACATGAAATATCAGTGGTCATAGGTACTCAGATGGGCAGTTCACTAACAAAACTACAAGAACCGAATGGTTGTGTTGGCTCATGGTTGTGGAGTTTACTCACGGTGTGAAGTTGACTTGGTCAGTCAGTGTGGTGGTACCGGAGAATGGAGGAGCGCGCACCTAGGTACTACATGTCTGATCGAGACGCTGACAGAAGCTGTTTACACAAAATAAAGACAACAACTGAACAGTCGCCATTGTGATGACAAAATCATTTCATTGTGTATAGGATTCAGAAAGTCTCGATCCTATTAATAATCTATCTAAAAATATGTTATAAAGTATGTCAGCGTCAAATTTCTTTTGTTTAAAATAATATCTTTAACCAATCCTAGGAAGTGCGTAAAAACCACTGGAATGGCAATTTTCTGACCTTCTATATACAAGCACTAGACTGCTAGACTTCAGTATAATCATATAAATTAATTAGAAACAATAAAATAAGAATATTCACATAATAACTAATTAATTTTTTTAAACTGCCGGAGTAATAAAAATAAACATTTGCAATTTGTTAGTAAATACAAGTATAACATCCAACAGATATTTTATTATAATTTTTCTCAATAATATTAAACTGAAAAATAATAAGTTGATGAATAAAATTACATGTTGTAAAAAACGACCAAAGCATTCCGACTCTTTTTACTTTAATTCTCTTACGTTCTATTTTAATATCGAATAGATAATATAGTATACTATTCTAGACAATTATCAAAAATTAATTACCTGACGTTTTTTTATTCAATATCTAATAATATATGATAAATACATTGTATCTTTATAAAAATATTAGTGCTAGCAGTTTAGCACAATAAGTATAGAAGCGGGTAAAGAAATTTGATTGTATGGAATAAATTGTATTCAATATACAATAGCAATAATGCTATTATTAACGAAGAATTATTTGCGACGAGTCAAGAAAATGGAGTTCCAATAGAGACAAATTTATTGGCTACATGATGTCAGCATGTTGTAGAGTTACGAGATTCTCCCGTCTTAAGATTGCACTTTTCTTGTTTTTCATGTTTTGTTGGTTGGATATACTCTGACTTACCGACGAGGCTGCAGCTGCCTGCGAAAATACGAGGGTTGTGCTGTGATTGACTCCCTTCAGAGCCAATGAGTGAGTGAAAGAGTGGTCCCCACACACAGCATTCCTAGGCGTGTGCGTTTGCTGTGTGCGACGCACGCTGCCTGTTATTATAATTATAGCAACGAGTCACGGCTCCAATTATTTAGAGCTAACATAGCACACACGCACTTTATCACAAAATACTTAAAAACTATATTTTATAACTACACTCTTGTAATCCTCTTTTGCCTGCCCAAATACATAGTTCAATTTTCTACATATATGCTGTGAGTTTAATCAACAATTGTTTAACACGAATTGCAGATATAATCACAATACATTTTATTACACTGCTTAGATTGTAGAAACGTTTTAACATTTGTGTCATGTGTAAATTTTACCAATTATGCTCGAATAAAATTAAAATCATTCGTAACAAGTCAAATAGAACTAACGAATTTACTAGCTTTCAATGAAGACAAAAGACATCAAACTTTTTAAATTTAATATATAAATATTATACAAATATTTAGGAACATGGCAAGTATATGATTACTTTTTTTGAACCAGTATATAGAATCTAAAAACAGTTATTCTATAATATATTGACATTTCCTTTGACTTTGTAGAATGATCAAATTCTTTTGTTAAAAAAACAAGTCAAACAAAAAATTTTATGAATGTAATAAAATAAGTACTACAAAGTATTACAAACATATTCTTAATTAATTTTGAGAAATGAAAAATATATTATTTATTTATTAAGCAGTTAAATATGATCCAAAAATATATAGAACAGAACTAAAACATCAGAATTAATATTTTACTTTAACACGTTCGTTACCACCATTCAGGTAAAAAAATTTGCAACAAAAACCATACTACATTACATTAATTTTATTAAATGTAGTATATTCTTGTAACTATGTACAAGTAAAATGTATTAATATCAACTCAGTGTCATGCATATACAACATTGGTAAATATGTTGTTGGTCTTTCTGATTTCCAAAAATCGACGCGTGGTACGAACGTGTTGAGCAAAATACCATCTTCTCAGAGAAAAGTTGGAAACGAATAATGAAATGCATTGCTCATATATGGAAAAACATAATAAACATTAGTATCCAAACAAAAATTTCAGAAAAAATTGTACTTATTATAATACAGAATAATGTTTATAATGCTTCGTAAAAAATTCACATGATTGGTGACAACAGTTTTATAACAATTATAATCATCTGTTAACCTATATCTTTGCAAATTCTAAACCCAAACCTATCAGACCACAATCTATAATACCTTCTAAGATTTTGGTATATCACATCCGACAATATGACCAAAAAGAAGGGCAGAAAAGTAAGAGTGACATAAGAAGAATAATAAAGAAAGTGTAAAAATAATTACCTTCATAACCTCTCTGAATTTTCCAATCTCTCGCGTAATCAAGTCTCTTTTACTTTCTTCAATTTCCGCATCATCCAAGTTCAAAGATTTTGCAACCATTTTTGTTTGATGTTCCTCTACAACACATTATAATATATTTTCTGTTAATGTTCAAATTTCATTGCATAGATTATCATAAAAAAATTAAGATTTTACCAGGAGCAACTTGAGCCATTTCCAAATCAGCAGCGTGTTCAGCTACAATTTGATTAATGCGAGTTAATGCATCTGCATCCACTACCCTCATACCCTCATCCATGTAATCTTCGCCTTCTTCTCCTTCACCTCCATCGGTACATGTTTCATCCTGTAGAGGTGACTGACCTCCTCTCAACTTTTTCCTTCTTTCCGCTATAGTATACCAAACACATATGTGTATTATATAGAATTTTTTAAACATCATACTTTTTATGCAATTCTTAATTTTACCTTTAAACTGATCAAGAACCACTTTGGCTTTTGCATCAACTTTCACAACAAGTTTCTTTGTGCCTATTTCCATGTCATGAAGCAATCTAACTGCTCTAAGACCTGCATCAGGACCTGCATATTCACAAAATCCAAACGCTTGGACTCTCTTCCAAGAAAGTACATGGCCACATGCACCCAGAATATGTCGTATCATCACATCAGGTGCTCTGTCCATAATGTTACCAATGAACACAGTAACTGGTGGACCAGATTCTCTCTCGCGGCGTCGATTATTATCATGACGATTCTGGTTACGTGCATACCGAACAGCTGGAGCTGAGGTCTGCATCGCAGATACGGGTGTTGGAATCATCTATGTTTTATAAATGGTAGGTTTCTTAATAATGCACATCTCTACTCATGCAGTCCAGAGTCTCCCCTCCCCCTAATAGCATATTAATGTATTTCTTCTCCTTTTGTTACTGTTTATTACAAACATGGCATCATGCAAATATTAACTTAAAGAAATTAAAACAGACATTCGTACCCATAATAGAACCTTTAGAAAATTTTCATTTCATCCATATGCAATACTTCTAACAATGTAATTTTTTTAAGTAATATGTATCACATTTTACATTGACAATCTAAATACAAGTTAACGCAATACACTATATAACTGCTTTAACAGACATATTAGTATTTATTATATGAAGTCTGTATTCTGTGCTACTTAACACATTAATTAGTTTATAAGTAAGTGTTTGTATCAATAAATACATGCTGTTTCCCTTTATTGTTTACAAAAAAAGAAATTGCCTATAGTTCAATGCACACTGATTATAACTGTTTGCATTTACAAAACAAAACAACGCATTAAATAACAATAACATGCAAAGATTTAGAATTAATTATAGACTTAAATAAATGTAAGTAAAAAGAAATCAAGAAATTACATCTAAAAATTTGAGAACATTAACAATGTTTAACGTGTAGTATCAAATGTTTATTTATATTATGAAAACAAAAATAAATATAAAAACTTTTGTAACCATAATTTTACCTTAAAATTTTAATGAAACTAATAAGAAGCATTACTTGGCATTTTATTGTAAATACAACAACATATGGCAAGCGCAAAAGATATTTGAGGAAAACATCCACAAATTATTTTGTAGCATATGAAAACAAGCATGCTAAAAACATTAAAACAATGAATTTTGTATGTACTTACATGTGCCATAGGCATTACACCACCTATTATTGGCGGAGGTGCACCAACCATGTAAGGCATAGGTGGCATGCCTGGTATTCCCATTGGAGGTTGGCCAGGATAAGACATTTCTTATTTTAATTAGTACTATGGCAATGCTCTCACTAAAAAACATAAAACATAAAATATTACACCTACAAAATTATAATATAATATATATTTACGTAGTTACATATTATTTCATTAAAGATATTTAAAAATAAGATTGTCTTCTACTACTGATTTAAATCTTCTAATTTTGTTTAAAATGTTTATACAATAATAAATACAAAATCATCTATGTTAACCAAAAAGGTTTAATATACAATATTGAATAAGATTGAAAATTGTTATTTTAGATCGAAAGTACTTTCAGTAATCTGTACCTAAAATGAAAAGAACATATTTTATCTTAATTTGTTTAATGTTATACAATTTTACAACAAAAATAAAGAAACATAATTCATTTTATATCTGTCTCGCCTTCTTTGCTATATTATTTATAATACTTACTAACGCAAAAATTGTTTAGTTAAAATGACTTTTAAAATTATAAATTAAATAAATAATGATAAACAATCTTTACTAAATTTACGGAAAACTTATTTATTGGTCATAAATAAAGAGGCTAAATAATTTCTAAATTTTGCTTACATCACAGATGTAATATCAATTAAAAACTAACATCTAAAAATAATGCTTATTTTAAAACTATTATAGATTGACAGTTATTTTAAACGAGTAGAAGAAACGTGCAAATATTGCAACAAGTAATAATTCAGTTATATCTGCACAATATTAGTGTTCAAACATAGGGGAATTAATCAAACATTACAAAATATAAATTTAAACTAAAAATATTACGTAAAATTTTTTGAAAATTTTTACAAGATAATAACCTTTCATAAATAACAACCTTTTTACGCAAAACCTACTGGCAAATAATCAAATACAAAAACCAATTTAACATTACATGAATTAATATTTAGAAACGGTTACCTACGTTTTGCATTTTGATATAAAAACTGTTCATTCTCTAAGTTTACTGTATAAGAACATGTTTTTCGTGGTAACAGTTACAGATGCCAGACAAGACATTAATGGATGCTTTGGTATTCTAACCATTAAATGATTTTAACAAAGAACTGATTCTATACTTACATAATATATTTGAAAATAGAAGCAATGCATCGATCATCGTTTTGAAAATGTTTATGTCATTTTGTTGAAACTATAGAGTTGAAGAGACGTTTCACTAAATACACGAACTAAAACTTCCACTTTCACGATCCTTCATCTAGTAATCACTTCTTTTCCTCCATTACGGCTTCACGCGCTGTTCGCTTCTAGAAGGCTATGGTTGATGGTATATTTCCCATGCGTTTGTCAATACATCGTAAATGTACCATAGTTCGCACACATTATACAAAATGTTCAAAAAATCCCTATTTATTTTAATGAATAAAAATAAGCTTCGAGAAATTTTTTACTCAAGAGACGATTGATAATAGATTGAAGAAATTCATGTACAATTTAGAAGCTTTAAACGTTTTACAAATTTTAATTAACAATTTTGTGTACGCTCCATCGGTACATGTCTCTAGAAATCTGAAACTAGTCATTTTGGAACACATTTGCAAATAATTCCTCGGTACAAGCATAATAGAGACTTCAAGACATTGACAGATTTATTACAATCTAATAGCTATTGCCATTTTAAAGCATTAGAAGGTATATTAACATTTGTAAATGCAATGTGTGTGTAGGGGCACTAGGGACATTTCCCTACTGCCCCCGGGAAAACCCCTAGATAGAGTTTGGTTGGCAACCTTCGAGGGGGTGGTGTAGGGGACACTACGGGGCATTCCCCCTAGCACCATAGGGAATGTCCCTAGCGTCCCTACATAACAATAATAAACTGTTGCGTGACCACGCGAACGTAGCCCCAGAAATATAATAATCGATAGGTAAATTAGGAGCGAAATTCAAAAGCGGATGGTTATGCGTGATTGAGAGAATATTGTTAAGGATGCGCGATGCTGGTGGCACGCGTGGGAAAGATCTTGGGTAGAGCTCGAAAACAGGAAGAGGACACCAATTAGCAGACCCCGAAACGAATCGCGAGTTTCTTGTAAGTCACGTAACCTCTTGAAAAGGCCTTGTCCTTTTGTTAGTCTTAGGAGCGTCGATCGACTCCAGAAATGTTGGCGACGCTAAGGAAGTCATAAATTTCCTTCAAGGGTTGTTCTCTCGATCCTCGGAGCAGAGCCTATTTTCTCTTCCCACGTAGGCACCCCGCTGTGTAACGGAAAAGCGCGACTCCACCGAGTTCCCACCACCACCCGAAGACGGAGGGAAAGTTAGACGCCGATTCGCGGGGGCGTGTGTGCATCGGAAGGACGGCCTACCGCTTGGATCTGATGCGTCCTTCACCCTGATTGGACTACGAGGATCTATGGGAGGACTAGGAGGATTTGGCCAACGACTTCGGCGAGGACCTCGGAGGAGACTTCGAAACGCTACGATTTTTCTTATGTCATTGTGTCTCTAACCGGCCTTCGGACCAGTAAAATAAACTACGAAGTTTACCTAACAAAAGAGTTCTCTTGTCTAGTTTTATTAAATTCCCACGCTCCGACAAGCAGAGCGGTTCTGCGCTCCACGGGCACCAACCCGCGTTCTTATCTTAAATTCCCCGCTAAAATACGCGACAAAACATTTAGTAATTCCCTATACAAATTCAGGGTTTTCGTGGGTCTCTTTGCAGCACCACAGGCGGACTGATCCAGAAACAAAATATGTGGGGGCGACAAAGACTCCAATATTACTAGCCATGCTGAACGAAAAACAGTAAAACCATGGGAGTCTGATTTTACACTTGATAGAAAGAATACGTAATATTTGTGCATCTCTGTCTGTCCAGTGCAAAATCAGAATCTCATACTTTTACTGCCTCTCACTCAGCATTGCTCGTACCGAAGCCGGCTGTGCTTGTATTTATTTCTGGTAGAACATATGCTTGACACAAATTATATCAACACAAATACATCAATAGTAATTACTTGAAATTATAATTTGATGGTTCAACGATAACAACATATTTTCTTTTAATTTAAATTCCCATTATCGGAAAAATAAAAATCTTGGAGATGTTTGAAGATAAATTTATGTTTGATCGATTATTTTTAATATATGCCAAGTCAAATTGTCGCTACATTTGTTACAACACAAATGTGATTTGAGTATTGCTCTTTTGTGGTACAGAAATTCGACAATTTTTTAAAATACATTAGAATCATATATTTTTTCTCTTTTAATGTAATTCTTTTTATTGTTTAAAAGCAATAAAAATATAGAAAACATGAAAATGAAATTCATGAAAATCATGAAATTATTTATTAACTCTACCAAAATTACATTCATAGATATAAATATAACTTTTTTTTATAAAAGTATGTATTAATATTTTTGTTTAGTGAAAGTTTAATTATACAGACGGCTACCTGTATGTCGGGTAAGGTGACAATTTCTTTGAGTTTAATATACGTTACCAATAACAGTATGGTTCCACTAGAAAGAGGTGATCGTTTAAAAGAATTCACAAAGATTGTTGATTATCACTTTTACTATTCGATAATATAAGTTTGCAAAAGTTAAATGGTGTTCAGAAAATAATAAATAATTTTATCGTACTGATTTAGTAAAATGTTAAAAACATAAGAAAATTTAAAATTCATCAACGCCCTCTTCAGTTGATCGGTGTTCCGTTGAACTCTTTAATTCATGAAATGGCAGTGTGATGCATTCTTTAAGCTGGGTGAAGTGAATTTCATGGGAGACTAAAGTTTCAAAATATAAAAAAGAAATACTATAAATTATCAAAAATCCCGTTGTGCAAAGCAATTAATGTGACTGTATGCAATGTCCTCTAATCCGTCTTTTGAGGTATAAGACTTAGAATAAAATAATATTTTGTACTTTTTATTACTAGCTTTCGGTTGACAGTGGTAAATGGAATCCTGAAAATTAGATTTTTTAGGACAGTTTGCTTGCAAGAGAAATGAAATTACGTTAGAGATTTAGGAAGCGTAGTTATGAATTATGCGTGAACTAATGTGAAAGTATGAAAAGTAATCTTAATAATTTTTACAATAATGTTTGCATAATTCATGTTTATTAGATAACCTTATTAAGTAAAATTTAAATTATACGTTTATTGTAATTAATAGTGGTTGTTGATACGCGAAAGTTAATGTTTACAAGCTATTGAACAAAAATGCACGAAATGAATTTTTATTTACTCTTTAAGTAGGAAAATATAGATTATTTGTTGAAGTTACATATCATGTAAGTACAGTATTATGATTTATGTTTTCATATTTTATTACTAGTATTGCATTGTAGTGGAGATATTTAATTATGTATGTAGTAGTGCATGAATTAGATTGCAGCAACATTTGATTAGAAAGATAAGAAAACTTATATGTATAAAATGTAAAACTATACCGTTTAAAATATACATACTATTCTTAAATGTTAATATACAAAACGAAATGGACATTTTTTGTAAAAGTTTATAAACCTTCGAATTGTTTATGAAATTTTGTATCTTAATTTCAGCATATTTTTATTTGTCGTATAATCATAAAATTATCTCTACCTTTTAAAGAACTATTGTATGATATATAATATATGCAATAATTTTATGAATTCTGTATAATATTTATCTTGTGTTCAATAAATAATAGCTATGTAGATTATAACGTTACGTACAAGTTAATAGAATATTATATTTCATGTAAATAACTATATAGCGATAATGGCACCGAGACGAGCTGAAGACATACATGTTAAAAGAGTAGCAGCTTTAGGTTGCAAGTTGCCTGATCAACTACCAGCAGGAGAAATACTTACAGATATTACTCAAAACAAATGGAAATTAGGACATACGATAGGATATGGTGGATTTGGTGACATATATTTAGGTAATGTTTTACTTGTAAATCAGTTATGAATCCTTATAAAGATAAAAAAACAATATATTCATGCATTCGATTTTCTTTTATATATATTTCTTATAAATTGCTTTTAAAATGTGAATTTTTAAGTTTTGATTGAATATTTGTATCTAATTTTCTAAATAATTATTCTATATTTAATATTTAAATAAATACCTTTAAATCTTTTATACTTTGCATGTTTTGAAGTCGAAGATAGGTAAATTACTATATAAATAATCATTTTATCAAAAAATACGTTTTTCATATATAATATAATTTAAAAATAATTTTTATTTCAAAGAAGTTTATTGTGAACTTATTTTAAATATTTGATTCATACTTCTAATTTTTAATGCTGTGGGTATTTCTAAATCTTCTTTTACGAATTTTATAAATTGAACATTTTATGTTATAGCATCAAATGATATTTACGCACCTGTAAGAGAAGATGCAAAATATGTTATAAAAATTGAACCACATAATAATGGTCCATTATTTGTTGAAATGAACTTTTACATAAGAGCAGCTCGTAAAGATATGAGTAAGTAACTTGTTTACATGAAACATATAATTTATGTTTTGTATATATTTCATTATTATAAATTACAGTTGAGAATTGGTGTAAATCACAAGGAAAGAGACGAATAGGTGTTCCAACGTATGAAGGATCTGGCTCTCATATATATCAAGGTCAAAAATATAGATTTTTAGTAATTCCAAGATACGGCATAGATGTTGGAAAATTGTTTATATCGAATGGAGGAAAATTGCCTATGAAATTTGTTAATAGACTAACTATTCAAATGGTATTTAATCATTGTAATTTATGATGAAATTGAGATACTAGAAGCAATTTTATTCATTTTTATATATTTCTATAGTTAGATGCTCTTGAATATATTCATAGTCGAGGATATGCTCATGCAGACATTAAGGGATCAAATATTTTATTATCATTGAGCAAGGAAGATATCAATGCAAAAAGATCACAGGCACATTTAGTTGATTATGGGCTAGCCTATCGTTTTCGTACAGGATTAGGTATACATAAACCATTTGTTCACGATGAAAGAAGAGCACACGAAGGAACATTAGAATTTACATCAAGAGATGCACACCATGGAAGTAAGTTTTATAAACTTGATACAAATATCTTGCAACCTTGCATTGTATTCTATTTCATTGCAAACGTGTATATTATTTTAGCACATTCAAGAAGAGGAGATTTAGAAACTCTAGGATATAATGTATTGCAATGGTTATCTGGTAAATTACCCTGGGAAAAAGAAGATGGTAGTTTGACAATGGATCCAGAAGAAGTCCATGCGCAAAAAGAAATTTTACTCTCAAATATACCATTGTTCATGCATAAATGTTTCCCTTATAAGAAAAAACCACCTGGTAAGTTGCCAAATTTTTTTGCAAGTAAATGAAAATTGTTATAGTTTACAAAAATTTGTAAACAATTATAATATGAGCTATTACCTTTACTAAATAAGTAGAATATTCTTTAAAGCAAGATATTACTAATAATACTTTCTTACCAGCTGCCATCGTGGAATACATGACTTATATTACTGAATTGGGATTCGAAACTAAACCTAACTATTCCTATCTACGTAGTCTATTTCAAACTGGTTCTAACCAAAAAAATGACGTTCCTACATGTTTATATCGTGTAAGAGAATCTAATGAAAATATTTCTTGTCCCATCTCTTTCAAACGACCGTATTTAAGAGAAAGAAAGCCATGTAAACCTGTTAATGGCGAGGTATATATTATGAATAATTGTTTATCTTTTTTTTATATTTATTATTATCATTAAGTTCCGTGTTATTGTAAAGAAAAAATAACAAACATTATTGTTTCTAGATACGTATAACACGAAATACGCAACCTAAAACTTCAATTGAAAGAAAAGAGTTTTGTTGGGAAGCAGTATTAGCATTACATCCTGATAAACTTGCAAAAATTACTGTACAAACTTTGCCTTCGTCACTCACTCCCCCAACACCTCTTACTCCACCACCATCTCCACCACCTCCATCCTTACCTACGTATGCTATGTTAAGTGTAATTCAAAGAATGAAAGAAAGACAATCTGGGACATTGCGATATAGATCACTACCAAAATCCACAGAGTAAATATTCTAATTTAATTTTCAGAATTATATTTTAGTATATTACATATAATACAAATATAAAACGGAAATCATATTTTCTGCAAATAGCGATCTTAAGGCGAAGTGTATGACACCAGCCATGGAACAAATTATTCAATTGAGAAAGAAGATTCCATCGGCGCTTTCTTTATCTAAAGTTTCACCGCGTTTGACTCGTTCCCGAGTGGCTAAATTAAAGCGTAAGTTAAATTTAATATATGTTGATTGAAATTATATTTATTTAACGAATAACGATAATGTAACAGTTAAATAATCAAATCATATGCATATTAGGACTTGGGAATAAGAAATCACACAAGAAAATACACAGTAATAAAAGGAGGAAATGTCCACCATCATAAACAGGATTGATTTTTCTGACTATTGTTCCAGTTTTCATTCCTTGGATAATGGAATTTTGAGCAAGTTATCTAAATAATGGATGTATGATTAAGTATTATTCTCAATTAGTTTATTTAGATTTTATAAGAATATACTCTTGATGTTCCTGTTAACAGGACAAAATTTCATTCATTAGTAATGCCTCAAGTGCTTAGTGCACTACTTTTTGTAAGACTGCTTTATCATGATTTGTTATTAAACAAATAATATGATTAATATAAGATTTTTTTTAAATAATTGAATAACGAACAAATAATTACAAGTAGTTGAGATAATAGTTATAGAAATTACACTGCTTCCTTTTAGCAAATGATTTCAGTATAATTGGATTATGCCTTGTTCATAGACGCAGTAATGAAAAACTACTACTTCCGTAAACATGAAATATGTAAGCATCTCATAATTAATTATTGTAGTAAACATACGATCTGAATATTAAATTAGAGATTCGTTTAATCAAGTTTTAGTTTAGTTTGCAAACTGAATTTTAACATTAAAAGCATATAAGCGAATTTCCAATGTTTATACAAGTTATATTAAAATTTTATTCCTATATTAAAGTAATGTAAATAATATTCTAAAACTATCCAAGACATGTTCAAGTACATTTTATTGTTACAATTGTGTTTCAATTCTCGTGATTACAAATCAAATATATGATACTTGAATGTTAATAACATAATAATTTGATTTAACGATAATATAAGTGAAGACTTGTAATTATCATAGAAAATATGAAATTTGAAATTTCAGTATGAATTCAGTAGTATACTTTAGTAGGGTATAATTAAAAACAGTGAAATATGTGTAAAAATAATTTGCAATCGTAAGCTGTTGTTTTACTCTCAACAAACCAGTATTGAGCTATTAATTGAACTAATAACATGTATATTATATAGGGTCAGTCACGTAAATGAAAGGAGTTATGTCTTAAATGTGGTAAGAGATAGAACAAATTGTAAAAAGAAAAGTTGTCCTACAGACTTTTTTCTATCTCTTACTAAATTTAGACACGTCCCGTTTGCCCGACCTATCCTCTGTATATTAAATTGCAGTAGCTTACGTTTGTCATTATATTTACAATATGTTAGCAAGAATGAGTGTATAGTATAAATAAAGAGAATGCTATTTTAATTCATGGCAAGATTTTGTATTAAAAGTAATTTAAAAACACACGCCTTTGAAAGTCTACCGTTTACGCTTAGAATACATAAAAAATTATCACACATTAGCTCATCTCGTTTCAGTATGATTTAATTTCATTTGTATTAATTTGAGATCTTACATTTACAAAACATTGTTATATCAGACTCGATCGATCATTGTATATATTTATATAACAAAGGACATGTATAGATGAAAGCGACGATTTATTTGCAGTAAGTTTGTGATAATGTATTTGTATTTTCTTAAGTTACACGTACCTGTGCCACAAAGCAGTGTTGTTAAAGACTTAAAAATGTATTGTAATTAAATAAATACACTAGCATTTGTAATTTTTTGTATAATATTCTTGTATTTACCAAATTTCGTGAATATACAATAATTGAAATAGCGAATATTTCTTTCTTTACATACTATTACGTCAGTTGTACTAACCATAAATATTAATATTTCAAGGCTGACGTTTAATTATTTTATTACATTAAAATAAACGAAAGTGTAAAAAATTTTGATTAACAGCACTGCAACATAATGAGATTTAAAACCATTTAAGTATTGTTAACAAAATTACGAAGAAAAGGTCGTTATATAGTTTATTTACTGCTTTGTACCATATTATAATCAAGTACATAATACAAGTTTAAGTGATCAGTAAAAAAAATGGCAAAAATTATGTGTATTTACTCCATATAGAATATAATTGTGTCAATACATAACAATAAATTTGTATATTACTGTATATTTGAAAACTATAATAATAAAAGATTTTAATTATTTTAATGCCTTTTATTATTCTAAAAAATTAAATATTGTGTATATTTATTATCAATTTTACGAATTTAAAGTATAGTGTTTTTGTACAATTTTTAATTTAACATCTATAACATTAGTCTACAATATCAAGCATAACAAAAATTATAACGAAATATAATAAGAAATTACTGTAATGCATTAAAATAACATTTAAAGAAAAAACTCAAAAACATATTTTTCTTTAACAAAAAAGGTATCTAACAACTTTTTTAAAGAAGAATGTTTCAAGGTAAAGAATTAGGAAATTAATGTTTAAAATAATATTAGCATCGTTTAATATAATGCATGCAGTACTTGTTTAATAGTAGCGATAGTAGTGATACTATGCCACACTAAGTATAGCGAAGTAAATAAACGCAACCACGCCCGTGAAGTTTGGATTTTAACATTTGTTGATGCATTATAAAAATTCATAAAAAATTTCAAAAATAAGTAAAAATGACTAAAAACAACGAAGTATTCTATCGGTTTACACTAAAAAGCAATGAAATATGACATACAGTTAACCTTGTTCTTTCATCGACAGTATAGTGACATCATTTATTCATTGACTCAGATGTAAACTATTCTTAAAGAATGTTTCCTTCTGTATTTTGTACTTAGCGACGCCGATAAAGATAACGTTATAAAAATCATATTGGTAACTAATATAATTTATAATGATAGTATTATCGTTAGTTTTTTATTTCTGCAGTCATGTACTTAGTCAAAAATACGAGGGTTGTTTTCGGAGTTCTGTGTTAGATCCGGATTTACCAACCCCGATATCAAATCGTGGTAGTATGCCAGCAGAATGTATAAAAAAGTGTCGTTCTCGTTATTACATGTAAGTTATAGAAATATCGTCTGTATTTATTAACATTAACAATGAAGGAACAAACAATTCATGTCTTCTGTAAATGATCCATAGGTTTGCTGGATTAATGAATGGTCAAGACTGTTTTTGCGGTAGTAATTATGGTAGAAAAGGTATATCTACTTCTTGTACTTATCCTTGCACTGCTGATCCAAATAATTATTGCGGCAGTCAGGAAGCAATGAGTATTTATTCAACTGGACAAAAAGGTACATCTATTAAATATTGCTATGTGTAATTAATATTTAATACATTTCCTACTATGGTGATTAGCATTTCAAACACAATGTGTTGCAAAATTGTTTGTAAGGAAATAACTCTGATACTTGTAAATTTTTATACAATGTTACTGTCATTAGAAATGCTATAAAACAACAAATATACCATTGAATTGTCGAATATTTTTATTTATCGCTCTACAATTTGAATAAATGTCGAGGACATCTCTAAACATGGGAAACTGGCATGGCAATATATATGTTAATACAATATAAAAATTTCTTATATCTGTTAATTTAGCATGATTGCATATTTTTTATAGGTCCTAGCCCACCGAGAAGAATAGAAATAATTCACAATGGTTTAGATAGTTTACAAATTACATGGGAACCACCCAACATATCTAATGGAAATATTACATCTTATACTTTGAAAGCAGCAGTTATCGAAACACACGCTTCTGATCTATTACCAGTTGTAGAAAGTCAAGTGCAAGGGGGAACTACAAACAATATTACTTTACGAGATCTACAACCAGGCACAAAATATAATATATCTATAATAGCAACTAATACTCAAGGAAATAGCAAGCCAGCGTATATTTCAGGATGGACACTAATTGCCCCACCTAATAAACCAATTATGCCAAAAGTAATAGAACAAACAAGTACTACCATAACTGTCTTATTATCAGAAGGAAATAGCGAATATGGACCTGTTAGCTCATATCAAGTATTTGTTGTTCAGTCTGGTGTAATACCTCCATCAAGTCCTAACATTATGTACTATAATTATGAAAAATCAAAGCAAGAAGGTTTAGCATATTATATTACAGGAGAATTTGAATCTTCTGAATTTTATAAATATAAAAGGTTTACAGTCGGCGATGGAAAAATGATTGGTAGATATTACAATGCACCTCTGAATACCCAAACAAATCCTCAGATAGGTTTAGCAGTGATATCTAGATTTCAAAGAGAAGTGCAATTTGCTTATTCAGACTTGATTAGCAACTTAAAAAGTTACGGTAAAAATGAGAATACCAAAATGGATACAACAACGATCGTACTTTGTGTTGCAATTGGTCTTTTAGGGGCATTACTTGTAGCTTTAATAGTATTGTATTTTGTATTGCGACAACGTCATGAAAAATTTCGTATGCAAAAGCTTCCAGAACAACAAGAACTTACATTACAAGGACCACTATACGAAGTTGACAATATGGCGTATATTCCCGAAGATGTGCCGGAAAGAATAAATCATTACCAAGAACTAAAAAACAAGGTATGGACCATACCACAAAATGTATTAACAATTAGTGACACTATAATACGTAGAGGACGATTTGGTACTACTCACACAGGTACAGTGGAGAAAGATGGCAAATCTTGTACTGTAGCGATTCATATTATAGCTGACAGGGTATTAAAGGCATCAGAGAAAAGGAATATGTTACGAGAATTGGATGTTTGTATTAGAGCATGCCCTATGAAATATCTTGCAGATCTAGTAGGAACTTGCGAAACGCATAATACATTGTATGTTGTACTGGAGTTGCCACTTCAAACATTAAAAAATCGATTGTTGGCTGCAAGATCCGGAAATACATTTCCAGTCGATCAGATTCTACCTATGGGATCTATGATAGCATCTGCTTTACAACATCTTGAAAATTGTAAAATTGTACATGATTATCTGTGCGCACGTAGCGTAGGTCTTTGCAACGATTGGACACCTAAATTAATGGGTTACGGTATTGCCAAGTACGCTGTAGAAGATATAAAATACACTCGATGGAATGCCGTTGAATGTTTTGGTAATAAAAAAAAGCAATTGCCGGCAGTAATTTGGGCGTTTGGTGTACTTTTATGGGAAATGCTCAGTATGGGTGGTACACCATATTCTAATCTTGTACTTGAAAGCGAAGTAGAAGAAGCAGTTGAGCGAGGAGTTAGATTACCACAATTATTAGATACTCCTGACCCGCTTTACGAAGTTATGTCATCTTGTTGGCATGTCGAAAGTGAAGAAAGACCAACACTTTCAGAACTTACAAGATTGGTAACTATTCTTTTTATTCTTAAAACATTGAAAATAAAATATTCTTCCATTCGTATATTCTTTATTGCATTTTATATTTTTAGGATACTTTAAGCATCTGTCCTATTACAACAATTACAGAGCCATGCATCCCAGAATTAGAATTAAATTAATGTCATTAATACACAGGTGTTCATATTTTTATTGTATTTACGTGATATTTATTGTATTGTACATAGTAATCTTATACTCTTTAAGTATTCTTAAACACTATCTTTATATACTCTATACAGTTACCATTGCTACAACCTATTATATGTAACATTTTATATTTTTTTTCTCAGTACTTTAGATCTTTATTTTATATTTTTTTATTTTTTTTATGAAACAATATATACACTTATAACTGATAACACTTTCCGTCCACGATTTTTAGGATAAGGTTGAAAACAGGTACAGTTTTTGCAAAGTATAACTTTCTATTTAGAAAACAACATTATAACAATGACAATGGATTTATTATAAGTACTATAAAACAATAAAAGAAACTTTTATTCAGATTTTCAAATAATTACGCTAATGATAACTGAATAAGAAATTTTAAATATGTTTTGTTGTTTTGTAAAATGATTGCGTTACAAAAAAAGTACTTATTTAGTGTTTTATTTCTAAAAATTTTAGACGATTATAGTATTTTGAATAAATAAAGCGATACCAAACTATTATTCCACATGTTTTTTCATACACATTATTATTTTTATATACAGGGTGTTCGGCCATCCCTGGGAAAAATTTGAATGGGAAATTCTAGAGGCCAAAATAAGACGAAAATCAAGAATACTAATTTGTTGATTGAGGCTTCCTTAAAAAATTAAATTAAAAAATTTAAAATCATTCACGGAAAAATTATTTTCGGTTGCAGGGGTCAATTGCAATCATTTTTGGTCAATAGACATACCCCCGAAATCCTACGCACTTTCGAGAAAAAAATTCTTTCCCGAAAATGTAATGTCAGGTTAGAAATGTTGCCCTGATGCGTATATTTGGGGGGATTTTAAAATAAAAAGAATTTTAACTTTAAAATTCATGATGAGGTTTATGCCAGATCTGCCCACACTGTGGTGGACATAAGTTTGGCTAATACGCAATTAGATATAAAAACATTATAATTTAATTAAATAAATTAATGTTATAATTTGCCCTCGCTTTTTTCAGATAAGTTTGTCTTGTATATGTGATAAATCCGCAACTTTTCTATCGAAGAAAATTAATATTTGTTCATAGTCTATTTTAACTTTATTTTCACTATTACAAGATACTTCAAATATTTTAAGAGGAAATTCATATAAAACATTTATAAAAGTTATAAAATTAAAAAATTCATATTACATTTACTTTAGTAAATTATAGTAGATCGAATTAAGTTAAACATAAAGCGAATAATTTACCATCTGAAAGACATATTTTCACCACATACATAGGTCAGATGGTGTTTACCTCGTGTGAACATGGCTCTGACAAAGTTTATACGTTTATTAAATGCTAGAAATGTAATAAATGTTAATAATATTAGAGAAGTTGGAGACAATATAAATACCAAGCGACTTTTGGTAAATTTAAACTTTTATATTATTTAATTTTTTATTTAAAAAGTGTTTATCAAGTACTAAGTGAATGTGATAACCTTAACATAATTCGCAATTCAATAAAGATACAATTTTTATTATTTTAGAGTATAACGTCGAAATCGTATAGTACCATCAATAATGAAATTGATTATGTGGTAGAGGATAGTTTTCCAAATACATCGAATAAAAAACTAAGTAAAGCTATGAAAGTGTATTTACAACAAGCTAAAGATTATAGTAAGTTTTAAACAGACCATATTAATATTGTACAAATTTTACATAAAATTCAATATTATCATTGAGTTAAATATAAGAATAATCTATAACAACAAATTATTAATTTTAGAGGAATTTCTGAAGAAAGAAGCAATATCTTATGATTTAGGAAAACGACATTTAGCTAATATGATGGGTGTAGAACTTGATGATTTGACGGATACCTATATTGAAGTAATTATATTCATTTCATATAAAATATGATTTTCTTCAGATATACGTAGTACCTTGTTTTATAACCTTTGATGTTAATAAAATTGAACAGTAATATTTGAAATTCTATAATGCTTAAATATCATATAACTTGTGATATAATTAAAATAAAACTGAGATAAGGAATTAATGTACTTTTAATGAAAATCATACTTTATATAATATATTATTATATACAATCTGTATTACCTTTAGGCAATATATTTCTTCAAATTGTATAAACATTATTTATCTTTATAGAAAACAATAGAATATTTGTTTCCTTCTGGTTTATATGACTGGAGAGCACGTCCTATGATGGCTCGTCCAGAGAAATTATTTCCAAATAAGAAGGAAGCAGAATTTTCTGAAAGTGGTAGACCATATAATTTCCTGTTTTATACTTGTAAACCTGTTTATTATGAAATACTTTATGTAAGTCATTTTGTAATGTATAGTTTTTTTTTTATATATTGTACCTTATTGTAGCAAATTTTACGTACATGAAGAATATTTTTATACGCAGAATATTGCAGACTCGATAAAACTTTTGAATAAAATGGAAGATGACAAAATTGCTAAGAAGCAGTTACCTTCCGCTGAGGAGAAATTGTAAGCTTAAATTTGTTTGTTATACTTATTTCATTATATCATTAAAATAATTAATAAATGATTATTTTTTTATATATTGTTCTATTCATATTTTAATTTTTATTATTTTAGTGATCCAATAGGATCAGATTGGTTATTACATAAACAAATAGAATCTAAAATAATGGAAACAATTAAAACAGAACAAGTATGTACAATTTATATATTTCGATTATTTTATAGTAACATATTTCTTGAAAAATGTATTAAATGTCTTGATTTATTTTAGTATGAATACCTTATTAAATGTCTTGATAGACTAATACAGCATCCCCTGTCAAATCATAAATCTGATTTTCTTATGCAATACAGAAATAAATTTCAAATAATTACTCAAAATGTCGATCTCCCACCTGTAAGTATATTTTGAATACCCTTTATTGCTCTATTTATTTTTTTTAGATTAAAAAAGTTAACATGTTTTTCTTTTACAGTTGCAATATGATAGCAATGATAGACCTTTTGTTTTAGTTGAATGTAAGTATATAATATAATTTACTAAAATTAGTATCATTATAGTTTTATTATATTTAATGTAATCCATGATGTTTAGTGTATAAATTTCTTCTTTGAATTTTGTTCTTTATTTATTGTTTAATACATTTTATTAAATTGTTGCATTTTTTATAGGCTGTATGAGGAAAAATTCAAGGGGAACGGTTAAAGTGTTAGGTAATGGAACTGGAAATATTACTATTAATGGGAAGAATATTTCATACTTTCAGGACATGCAATGCCGTGAACAAGTAAGTTTTTAGAAAACAATTTAAATAATTATTGTAAATGAATTTATAATACCAGTTGTTATTATTTTTTCGAACAATTACTGGATGATAACTTGTTAGCATTCAAACTTTGGTTTTGATACTAACATATGTAATATATTCTAATATTATGAGATGAATCAAAACATAGAAATTCTTAGAACTAATAGAAATCGGAAAATAATTTATCATTTCACAATCTGTTTATATTTCAAGAATGAAATATCAGATTGCAAAACGGTGAAGGACTTTAATTTCTATTGGGATGAGGAATTTACACGTTTAAGGTTGCATGTAATTTGTATTTTATTACGTTTCTAATTTAACAATTGTACAATTGTACATCACAACATAAAATATAAAATAATATGTGAAACAATAGAAAAATCGTACGGTGAGTACTAAATTCACTACTATATTGATATAGATATATATCTTATATTAAAGTAAAAGAATGCATTGTTCATTTAGTTCAAGGTAAGTATTGCATTATATAAAGTTACAAACTATAAAAATTACTTTCTAAGAATTAATCATTTCATGAAAATATCCAATTTGTATTAAATAATGTATTTAAATATTAATATTAATTTCATGTTAAGATCTGTTTTTTCTAATTACACCAGATTTTTATACAAATTTATTTAAGTGTGATTATAAAACAGATTTAGAAGGCTTGCTTGGGGTGCGAAGCGAAACATATTTTTTGAACCATTTTTTTGGACGATTTTAAATTTTTATATAATTTATTTATTAATATTTTAAGTATTTAAACACATTAATTGTTTACACTTAACTTATTTATACTTGCTAGAAAACGGAACTTGTTACAATCACTACTTCAAGGATAAATAGTTTTTCAATGACAAAGTTGAAAAGGCATGTAATTTTTTGCCCTGGTTGATCTTTAGCATTCCATGTACATTCTTTTAAGTGTATATACAAGCGATTTCTAATCATTTTCTTTAAATATGGATTTGGAGATATCGTGGTCGATAATTAATATTCATCGCCTAAGGTGTTTTACATATTTGTTCCGTTTCGCAATCACATCTACAAAGATTCAAATTTCCTTTTAAAATACGCAATTATTAGTTAAACTTGTCTCATTTTTCATAATCTCAAATACATTCAAAATGTACGATTAATTAATTTCGTAATTAATCAATACATGATAAAATCATCCAAACAGAACACTTGTTTTACGAATATTTTATTACGTGAAAATTCTGATATATAGATACTTTTGTCTTTCAATTAGTTTATATAACAGATGTTTTACTGTTCCTACATCTCTGAATTTGAAATGAAAGAGGAACAGAGACGAGAAGAAGACGAGACAATGAGAATTAGTAGAAGTTCTCATGTGTGCGGTTTATCATAGTCTCTATGATCACATAACGATGACCACATCGAACAGAAATTTTTAATGAAATTCGCGAATTTTGAAAGTTCGTAATGTTAAAGATATAAACTGTACCATGGGAATTGGTATCGTTTACGTGCACGAAATTTATCGCGGTCTTTACGGCCACGCAACATGTACAAATTGTAAAGAAATTATTAATGAATTTCGAATGCAAGAGAACCGAAGTTTATGCGAGTGCAAAGGAGACGAGATTATGCGAATTCCGCGATCACAGAACAGACGGTGCGTGCAAGAAGCTCGATCCGAGCGCAGTATTAATCGAGCCGTCCGATAGTACGACAGATCCACGGTGTTTGCAATGGTACCGGCACTTTGAGTGTTTCAAATCGTTCGTTTGAGCCGACCGATAAAGTTTGCACGTGAAAAGCATCGCTATTGGTTCTTATTCCGACATCTTTCAAGCTATCCGGTAAAGAGCCATTATAAAAATTTCCACGTTGCGTCGAACATCAAAACGTGATTACTTTAGAAAGTCAGAGAAATTCTTGATTACAAGAGGAGCTAAAGAGTCAATCCCATAAATTTAGTAGTGAACTAGTTTCTATAATCTAAACACAAGTCTTGCAGATCTTACAGTGAATAAAATAAAAAATATTTACAATAAATTGAACCAGTGTTTGAAATTCGTTTACGGTCGTTAATGGTTTGGACGGTTTTGGTAAATTACCTAAATTACAAATGTCACGCCTGTGAAATATTTTCGATACGCGCGATCGATATATCAATTTCTCGAATGTAGTTTTAAATTTCTATTTGAAATCGAATAAAATGTATTTCATTTGTGATGAATTTCTATGTTTCGAAAATTTCTGTGCAAATGAAATATAAAGTTTTATGAGTATTCTCGCTGCAAGAATCGTCGATCCTAATGTTCTAAGAATGCAAAATATGTGCGAACGTCATCTTTTGCGTATCTTTGTTGTGTTTTTGGTGTCGAAATGGAATGTCGAGAATGTTCCAATCTTCGACTTACGAAGGACTCGAACTGTATATAAATAAATATCAGTTTAATACATTGTCGACCGCTAATGCTTTCCTCAAATTTTCCGTGGATCAGGTGTTGTTGATCATATAGTTATTTGAAGGACATACGATAAAACTGCGATTATTTTTTTTAAATGAAACTTTTTTTTATTTGGATATAATTTTGTCAGCGACTCCAACAAAATTGCTAATGTTTAAAAGCAAAAAAAAAAAATCGTCGGTTCGAAAATAATCAAGAAATCATGCTATAGGTGCTCGCAAACGAGAAATCTTGTTTTGGATCGCCAACGTGGGTCTTATGAAAACGAGAATTCTCGTTACCGGTCGCCAATGTGTTAAAGGTAACGGAGTGGCAGTTTACAGTTATCAATGTATGTGTCCGATTTTCCAATTGACATTCCCGCCTCACACGATGCGTCTCGGACCAGATTCAGACGTCATCAAAGATCTTCGTCCATATTTCTTACACTTCGTTGCAGTCATTATCATAATCAAACGTTTGATTACTCGGATTCATTAAAAATTACGTGCAATTTAAACATACCAGGCCACAGAGCGTTGAATCAAGTATAGTTACAATTTGATACGTACATTGTGCTAATAAATTTAACTTTTTGGCCGAACTGTTAATGCCGGAACGTTATTACATAAGACTTTTGAATACCTCTTATCAAGATCTATATTTAATAACAGGATGAAGTCTTAATTGATTCAATCTTGAAAGCCATTTTTTTAATGAAAACGATTCAAAATTGGCATCGTTGGAATCATTGAACATTATCGAGACGTATAAAATTTTATCATTTATTACGCCTGTTCGAACAAGGTTTTTAATTAAAAAAGTAATAAAAGTCTAATTCAGTTTGTTATGGGCATCATTATATACATTCGTATGTAAAAGTGCTTTTTCCTTTAAATTTCAAAAAACATAGAAAATTAACGCGCGTACCAGAATATCTCGTTAAGAAGAGATTTGAAACTACATTCGAGAAAGTTTTGTCAGACGAAGCTGTTAGTTATGTATGAAATCATGGGACGACTCTTGGCTCAAATTGAAATTGGAAAATATAAATTTCAGTGAAAATATCAATGGGCTTCGTTAAGAAATCGACGAGTAATAAATTATTGCTTCCCGAGTGAAATCTCTTTCGCAATTAGTACTTATAACAATATCTTTGTAGATTGATGATGTAATCACGTAAAGTACCGAACGAAGAGGATGGCGAACCATTCGCAGATCGCAGCTTCGTCGCTGCCAAAGAAGAAGGTACAAGTGGAACAGATCGTCGACATTGAGAACGTGGCTGTGTCCATTCCGCGCGTTCCGAAGCGTACGACCGTGTCTTCTCTGATTCTGGCGCGATGGCTGGCGTCGAAGAGCACGCCGCCGCGCACGGAAGCGGAAACGAGCTGGTCGACGGACGAACGGAGTCTGAACTATGGTACACCGCCTCCGATAGAAGAGCCTCATTGTTATTCGGTGTGCGCCAGCGAAAGCTCCTGCACCGAGGAGTTTAATTGCACTTTGCAGGTCAACAAAGATATAATCAGGAATCGTCTGATAGAGCACATGAGATACGTGGGTGGTCGGTTGCAGCTGTTGGACGACCTAGAGATGAACAAACTAGACTTGGACGATCCGGAGCGTGTCGCGACCGTGTACAAACGAGAGGAAATAAACACTCTCTTACTTTACGCCAGCTTTGTCGGTCAAGTGGACCTTATCGCTGCTCTGCATAAGTGCGGAGCAGATTTAAATTATTCGGAGCAGGGACAAGGTCTCGCTCCGCTGCACCTGTGCGCGTTCAGCAATTCTTTGGAAGGCGTGCAATACCTATTAACCAATGGCGCTAATATGTACTTGGAACAAACTCACACTCCGTTTCATTATGCCGCTTTTGGGAATGCTTCCAGAGTGGTTCAGCATTTTCTTCAGCTGGGGATCAGTCAGGAATCCCCATTGGGGGAAGAGACCGTTTTGCAAGCTGCGGCCAGATCGAACGCTTCGAACGTGTTGAAGTTATTAGCGCCGAATAATCCGACTCTGAACGATTTGGATTGCAACGGTTATGCTGCTATACACCATGTGGCAGATAAAGGGGATCCCGCTTGCATGACGATGCTTTTAGACGCCGGTTGTCATCTAGACCTAATGACCAAGAAGGGCGACACTGCTCTGCATTTAGCGGCGGAGGCTAGCTGCGTGGAAATCGTCGATTTGTTGGTCGAGCATGGCGCGAACGTTCATTTGAAAAATCACCGGGGTCAGACGGCCTTGCACATAGCTTCGCGTTCTCATTGCTTGGAATGCGTGGAGATACTGCTGAAAAAGGGTGGTTGCGATCCTAACGTCGAAGACAACGATGGCAGAACGTCCCTGCACCTCGCTCTAGGCAGATCTTTATTGGCTTACGAGGTTACCGAATTCCTCGTCACTTGGAAGGCGAACGTGAACAAAACTGATAAATATGGCTACTCGCCGCTTCATATCGCGGCTTTGAACGAATTGTCGCAATGCGTGGACATACTGATACAACGCGGAGCAGACCTGAGCGCGAGAACGAAGGGTGGAACGAGCGCGTTGTCCATCATCTTGCGCAAAACCCCGACGTCATTGAACGTCTTTAAGCAGAGACTGAACACCTCTATAACGCTGCACCAACACGGATCCGCCACGGGAGAAATAGAGCTTCGTCTGGACTTTCATCCTCTGTTAATGCACCAGCAACAAGGGGAGATCAGATACCTTGGCACTTTCGTGAAGGAAGGATACAAAGAGATTCTGGAGCATCCGCTCTGCCAGGCGTTCCTACATTTGAAATGGCAGAAGATCCGGAAGTATTACGTGGGCAGGCTGGTATTCTACTTGTTTTACGTTCTAATACTCACTGGTTGGGTAATGACTGCTTTAGCGCATAACTGTTACAACGAGTCGCACGGTCAATTAGACAATAATCAGCCGCCATTATGTGCAAATACCACCGGTATAAACGGTTTTCTCTATCGACATCCCGCTCTCCTGGAGATGGAATGGTACGCGTTAATGGTGTTGACTATTCTCGAAGCGATCCGTAAGCTGACCAGCATTCCGACATACCTGTCGGTCCGCCAGTTTTTCGCCCAGGCCGAGAACATGGTGGAGTGGTGCGTCATATTGAGCGTATTCGCCACTTCGTTTATCTACACAGGTAGAACGTACGCGTGGCAGAGCCACGTGGGAGCATTCGCGGTGCTCTGCGGCTGGAGCAACCTTATGCTAATGATTGGCCAACTACCGATATTCGGTGCGTACGTAGCGATGTTCACGAGCGTTCAAGCACAAGTGTTCAAGCTTCTTTTGGCGTACGCATGTCTGTTGGTAGGCTTTACCGCGAGTTTCTGCGTAATCTTCCCACGTTCAAAGTCGTTCAGCAGTCCGCACATCGGCCTAATCAAGGTCCTTGTAATGATGACCGGAGAACTGAACTTCGAGGATCTATTCTTCCCCATAGAGGAAGATGGTAGGCCTACAGACGCTGGCGGCACATCTTGGATACTACTTCAGTTATCCGCTCAATTGTCATTTGTACTGTTTCTCTTGTTCGTCACCATTGTACTGATGAACCTGCTGGTGGGAATAGCCGTTCACGATATAAAAGGACTGCAAAAGACAGCAGGATTAGCTAAACTCGTTCGCCAAACGAAACTCATCTACGACGTTGAGACTGCCCTTTTTTTAGGCCTAATGCCAAAACGGCTAACGAAGTTTTTGCGATGGACAGCTCTGCTGTTACCGTCGCCTCTGAGAGCAGTTTTGACAGTTCGACCACTTAATCCGAGAGAGACTAGATTGCCCCGCGATTTGCTTTCCGCCGCTCACAAGGTCGCCAAAGAACGCAAAAACGCGTCTGGAACATTATGCAGCCGAAAGAGCAACAGCACGACGTACACGTATCTCAAGAGCGAGCCATATTCGACGATTCATCGTCGTTTACCCGAGGAAGACGTCTTTATCGAGGATAGCACGATCAAAGGGGAATTGGAGGAGCTCAAGAGGATCTGTGAAAGAAATCAAACGCTTCTCCAGGACCTTATAATGGCCCTGGTATCGGACAAACAGCACAGCGCGAGCAAAGAAGAGGATGAAACTAATTAAATTCAATGCCTTAATTCATGGAATCTCGACGACTGAGAAATATCGTGCGAATGATCTGAAGAGCTCTGGATGAGAAACGTGGTTTTTAAACGCAGAACAACAACTGCACACAAACGAAATTGTACGTGAAGACTTACATCATTTCGCCACTCTATTTTTAAATTCGAAAGAGTCGTCTATTAAAGATGATAATTTTATTTTTTTCGACTCTGGAATTTCTGTATCGATAGTTTCAGCGTTTCTGTGAGTTCTGTTTTAAGATTTGACGTCATTCTTCTACAAAAAAAACCCCACGAGGCGCCGTAGCCACTTAGAAAGGAATGAATAAAATTTAACGTGAAAAACCCAGTATGAATATTTTTCTAAATAAATTTCGGAGAAACGGATATGTATAAGATAGCGATACATACATAATGTAATAGGTACGTTATTATGTAATCTTAAAATCATTCCAATTTCCATTCTTTAATTTTAAATAAGCTCCATGATAAATGACATTTAACTGTTTTCATGTCAGAAATGACAAAGAGATATAGATTATTTAGGACTACAATTATCTATGACAAAGATTGAAAAAAGATACCTGATATATTTTGATATACGTATAGACTTTTTACTCTTTATGTATAGATATTATTCAATATTTGTGAAATATTGTAGTACAGTATGATAAGAAGTTAAAGTCCGTCCACAATACGAATATCATAAAGACAAAAGAAGTATGTAAAAAACAAATATTAATAGAACAAACAGAGTACAATATGGAATACTGATATTTAATTTTATAAATCATACGCATATTGCTATGTAAATAATTGTATAAAAAGATTGTAAATAAGATGCGATTGAATAATAATTTAATTGTAAAGAATAATCTCTGATATATTTCAATTTTTTTATTTAATTGTACGAATAAATATAAATAAATCGTTTTTTAATCGTGTGAAACGTTAAAGAAATTTTCATATATTCATTCATTTCACGATGAATTTGTACTATGGATACTTCGTACATACAAAAATAATTTTATTGTAATGATGTTATCAGAAAATATTATTTGCGGAATTGGGTAAGAAATGAAAGGTGTTAAAATATTTGAACAAGCGATTGAAGAAATTTTTAATTTGTATCGAAATCAAATTTCAGCGGTTCTTATTAAACACAGCACGATCGAAATGACAACGGTTATCGGTTGGTCATTTAAAGTACTTTGTGGAAAAACAAATGTTCCTGTTTTGAATACACGCTGCGATCCTGTGTTATTTGCACATCAGTTTCAAAAAACGTTTTATTGCTCAATAATCTTGTGCGTGCTCGAGGAGACGGAATTTCAGTAATTCGAAACACGTGTTGCAAGTTGTTTAAGTACCAAACGTAAAAGATGTCAAACGGAATCGGAATGCGAATCGATATGTTAATCGGTGCTCACAGTTTATTTACAAACTCCACTATGGGAAGTTTGGTCTCAAAAATTTTTGTAATAAATCATCGTGAACCAATCATAAATTTCATGTAATGTGAAAGCGTCTGATTACGCGTGTATACGATATTATCGCGCGAGAGGCTTTGAACATAGCTAATATTACAATTTATGTTTTTATACTGCAAAAAAAAACTAGTGTTCTCAAACTACAGACAAAAAATTGCATTTCTTCGATTAATAATTTGTAGGAAATATTTTTTTCATTTCACCGACACAATTGTAATTATAATTATATTCCTCCAAAAAATATTCCCTTCTTTTTTAGTTCACGTGAACTATAATCCAAAGGATATTTCAAGTTGTTGAGTCAGCAAATGTGCTTAGTCACTCGATATTTCCATGTTAAAATATTCGACAGATAAAAACTATTGCCCGTTCGTTGGAAGATTTTTCATGCGGTTTTAAAACGTTTAGTTGTTAATTTAATAAGTGACCAAGTATTTTGGAAACATCGAGTTTTATACGATCGATCGGTTCGACGTAAGGTCAATGTAAGTTACGACGATTTTTGGTAAATTTGGACGGAGGCGATAAACCTACTTCAGGTTCGCCAGTAGGGTATTCAAATATGGCCTTTGGCATTCATAAGGTAGTTTAGTATTACTTAAAAAGAAACCGGTTCCAATTCGTAAAGAATCATAATAGGAACGCCTGGTACAGTATATACAGTGATAGATATCTGTATAGTTTAGAATTACTGACCACGATGGAAGTGAACAAGGTCGCTGAGTTTCAGGCCCGTGGAGTCTATCTAGATTTTGCGGAACATCTTAAAGTCCGACGAATCCGTAAAAAGGCTCATAACCGCGCGAACTCTTGCAACGTTTGGAGTTTCAGCTCCGGGGGTCCGTGAAAAATTCACGATCGAGCGATCGTGTCGCGTTTCGGGGATCTACGATCGTAGCTTTCTCCGTGTTAATGTAAAGGTGCCATTGGTGAACTCTGTTTTTATAATCGTCGAAATAACGTGGAGTAACCAGTGTAATTAATTTTATTAAAGTGTGTTGGCGAACCTTTTTGTAGACTACGAATGGACATAATCGATTCGCGAAATAAATCGAAATCATCGAAGTTTATATAAAATATAGCAAGCTGATAGCAATTAAGAAAAATGACAATAAGAAATTAACACGGAAAACTATTATAGAATTGGTTCAGTAATTTCATGTGCATTAAAAATAAGTTACGTGGACAGTCGATAGTCTACACACAATGATATTTTATATCCGTGACATTAAAGCATCAATAGTTGTTGATTAGCAACTGTAGTAATCAAATCCTAATGACTGTAGTCGTTGCGTAACCAAACTTTATAAAACTAATTTTAAATACACCTTGTACGTGATTCATTAGCCAGTAGAACTCTATAAGGCAATAGATTAACTTGTGCCCGATTTATTTCTATTTATCGCAGAATAGCATGCCAGTTGTTGAATCCTTTTTGATCGCGACATTTCTTTTTAAAAGTTACTCGCAGACTGGAGAAACATTAATAGACGTGCATCGCGACAAGACGAAACGAAAGTTTCACGCGTAAGGAATCGAAGAAACAAGAAGCAAGAGATGTTTTCGAACAGCTATTTTTGCCCCGAAGAGAAATCGAAACGCGAACAACCTGTCGAAGGAGCTCGAAGAATCGTATATCCGATGAAAAAGAAAATCTCGTTGAATTCGCGCAGGAGAAAGTTTGTTTATCGTAACGGGCGGCTGGTAGATGTGACCTCTATCCCGTTAATTTTTAAGTTCAAGGTCCCCGTTTGAAGGAGGACAGCCTGCAGAACGGAAGTGTGCATTTTCCTATCCAACTTATATATAGAATGAATCCATAAGAGGCGACCGATATAAGTCAGCCGGGCGAGTGACACCAGCAGTCGCGTGTACTGCAATGACGAGAGCATTCTCTTAAAGTGATCCAAATGACTTTGGGACGTGACGTGATAAACGAAGAAAAGAGCGAGGCAGAGGTATGACGATTGGAACGTTCATCCGAGGAGATCCACGATAGTAGAGAGTGTCTTGTGTTACGTCGCAGTTCCTTCATCGTCTCGACCGACGGCGAGAGAAAAAAATTCCACCGACGAAATGGAAGACAAACGAATGCACGGGAGCTCGAGCGAAGTGCCGAAAATTAACGTACAAAGGCCATCGTCGATGGTGGACGAGGAAAGATCGCGGCGTTACTCGTTAACGAGTTTAAGAGACCGTCGTCTTTCGTTCGACGAGAAGGATTGCCGGAGAACGACAGAGGCGGGGGATAAAGAAACTCGAGAAAATGTCGATGAGACGATCGCGATACGGATGAAATCGTTAGCGAGCCACGAGAAGAGGACGAGACATTATTCGTTGACAAGATTAAAGAATCGTCGTTCCTGCATCTACTTCGACGAAGAGAAACATGATTCGGCGGTGACGGATAATGGCTCCATTAATGAAATTGTCAATAATAAAACGACGCAAACGTTGAGGATGCCTTCAGCTCGCGAAGGGAAAACGAGGCATTGTTCCATGTCGAACTTAAACGACCGATCCAACGATCATCTTTCCACGAGATTGGCCTCGACGTTCAGATCGGTCAGGTATCGACACACGAGCAACTCGCAGAAGATTGTGATCAACGACACCCCTGTCGTGGATTCTGCGAACGACCAAATAGAGATCGACGCTGGTACACCTCCGCCAGCCGACGAGTCCCTCTTCTACGACAATCTCGACGTGTTCAGGCAAGCGCAGGTAAACGGTAACGATCTTCGATCGATAATGTGGTCGATCGTTACGCCCGCGGAAATGAAGCTGCTGCTCGAATTGGAGAAATGCAACGCGTTACCGGAGCTACCCGCAGGAGAGAGAATAAGAAATATCATTTACGTGTGGTGTTGTTACCGTGGCCTGATCCATTTGTTACCGAAATTGGAACAATTAGACGCGAATCTCGAATACACCGAGTCCCGTACAGGCATGAACGCCATCCTCGCAGCTTCCCTGAGCGGGAACGTAGCGTGCATCAAACACCTGATAAAAAAGGGCGCCGATGTAAACTGCAGAAACCCGATCAATTACTATACCGCCCTTCATTTCGCTGTTCTTGGAAAATCTCTGGACGCGGCGCAAGTGCTACTCGATAACGGCGCGAAACCGAGCACGTATCTCTATCAGGAGATTCTCGAGCCTGTGTTGCATTCCGCTATCAGGGCAGGAGCGACAGAAATCGTGAAATTGTTGCTGGACCGCGGTACGAGCGTCGTGGAGAAAAATCACATGGGCGAGACGCCGTTGCACGTGGCCTGCTTCGTCCAGTCGATGGAGTGCGTCGAATTGCTGCTGAAGTCACCTGGTACCAACATAAACGCGGTGGACAGAGCCCACAGAACCCCTCTTCACTTCGCTGTGATGACCACGCATTCGTCCGCGAAGCTCGTAGAAGCGTTGCTGAAGCACGGAGCGTTGTTGAACGCCGCGGACAAAACGGGCTTCACTCCTCTTCACGTGGCCGCGTTGAACGAACAGTCCCACTGTGTCGACGTTTTAATTTGGGCAGGCGCGGATGTAAGCGCAACGACCAGCGCAGGATTGTCCGCTCTGAACATCATACTCCGAAAGATACCCGAATCTCTGCAAGTGTTTCGACAGAGGCTCGACGCCTCCATAACGCTCAGCAGACCCGTGCCTCACAACAGAGAGTTCGAGATGAGGCTGCACTTCGACCTGCTATTTCCCAGCGACAACCAGTGCGAGACCAGCTTCATAAACACCTTCGTTCAGGAACGCCGCAAAGACTTGCTGTCCCATCCCTTGGTGATGGCTTTCCTGCACCTGAAATGGGAGAAGATACGAAAATTCTATCTGCTCAGGATCATGCTGTACGCCATGACCGTGATCTGCATGACCACGTACGTCCTCACCGCGTTAGCGTACAAATGTTACAATTACGACGAGGCGAACAGCTTGAAGATCTGCAGCAGCAAGCGTCTCTCTGGATTTCTCTTCAGGCGGCCGGTGATCGAGATCCAATGGTACCTGTTGTTGATCTTCACGTGTATCTCTATCCCCAGGAAGATATTCGGCTTCATGGTCTACACGTCGGCGAAACAGTATTTCTCCAACATCGACAACGTGCTGGACGGCGTCGTGATAATCAGCGTGTTCGTCACGTCGTTCGTGTACACGGGTCGCACGTACGATTGGCAAAATTACGTTGGAGCGTTCGCGATACTATGCGCGTGGACGAACTTGATGCTGATGGTCGGTCAGCTGCCAGCGTTCGGCACCTACGTGGCGATGTTTACTCATATACAGTTCGAGTTTGCGAAGTTGCTGCTGGCTTACTCCGGCCTGTTGATAGGATTTACCGTCAGTTTTTGTGTTATATTCGTCGGGGAACCGTCTTTCGGCAATCCCTTCACCGGTCTCATCAAAGTGCTGGCGATGATGGCCGGCGAGCTAGACTTCGAGGGACTCATCACCCAGATCGACGACAAAACCAAAGGACCGTTCGTTATTTATCATCCGCTATCGGTGTGCTCTCAGATCCTCTTTACTTTGTTCATCGTGTTCGTTACCGTGATTCTGATGAATCTGCTCGTTGGTATCGCTGTCCACGACATCCAAGGATTAAGAAATCACGCCGGGCTCACGAAACTCGTGCGTCAGACAAAATTGATCCTTTTCACCGAAATGGTTCTGCACAACAGTTCGATCCCTTACGCTTTCCGGAAGTGGATGTCGGACCATAAGATCAACGTGGAGAACAGAAAAAGAGTTCTGGTGGTGAAACCGTTGAACCCTTTGGAAAAGAGATTGCCTAAAGATATCCTGAAAGCGGCTTACGAGGTGGCCCAGAAGAATATACCGTTTATGAACGATGATAACATTAGCCTGAGCGATCACGTGATGTGGATGAGACAACAGAGCGAGGAGAATTCTGACTCTAATTTACAGCTAGTCATTGAAAATCTAACTAATAAGCTACAGTCCTACGAGGATACTATCAAGTTACTAAAGGAGCAGCTCTTAAACACTAATAAAACGCTGGAGAATGTTATACAGAATCTGGCGAAGGAAAAGAAAAATTGACATTTCCTAGGTACTATCATTGACAATCAAAGTCTCTATCTAAAATTTAACTACGAAAATCATTAAAAGTGCACTATACTCTTTCGAACGTAACAAAGATCAATAAATTAACTTTCTATATAAATGTCATGAATTTAAATATCGTAAGATGTGACTCATGGGGATATCAATTAACATTGATAGTAATGACATTAATATTTTATGTTTTTATCGACTGTTACACAGACTGCTTGTTTTGCGGCTGCTAGAATTTATTAAAATTGTTTGTACCCGCAGTGTATGTTGTAATTGTTATTATTGTAACGAACGAATAGCAATTCTACTATTAAGAACAATTAATAATGTTTGACAAACATTGATAACTAGCCGCTTAATTTAGTAATTAGTATTTAGAATTTTGTTAAAAGTTATTCTCTAAATGACAATATTTATATAATACGAAGCCCATCAAATGTTACGATTATCATCGTCTAGCATCGTCTTAGCTGAAAAAAATGTGTTAACGATACAAATTTGCCAAGACTCATTTTACTAAAAGACATATTTCTCTATAAAATATTTTAATTAGGTAATTAAATTGATATCTTCTCCATTTTATTAAGATTTCTACAAAATAAAATCTTAAGATGCATGAAGTAGTACAGATACAATTTAATCGATTTGAAAAGACAAGTGTTTTTGTTTTATATTAAATAAAATTATTAATTTACGAACTAAGCGTTGAATATTCACTTTGTACATTTTAAAATAGATCCAGAGTATGATTAACATAGTCTGTTTTAAATTACAGGTTATATTTCCATTAATTTTTTCGAATATGAGTGATAAAGTTGATATCGAAGCAACCGTTACTGGTGGGGGGCGAACTGGACAGTCAGGTGCTGTTCGTTGGGGTATTTCACAAGGGCTTCGAAACTTTGTCGATGTTGAAATGATAGAAAAAATGAGAATTGGTAAGGGCAACAATGGTATCTAATTACTAGTACATAATTAGTAAATAAGTTATTTTTCCTAATACATTCTGAATGAATTCGATGATAGGTTTTAAATTCAATTTATTTCAACAACGATTGTAAGCCAACTTATCACAAAAGATGAACGTAATTTTCAAATTTTGTATTATTAATTTATCATAGAAACTGGGATGTAATTATTACTGCGCGCTCTCTATCGAGACATTAATTTCTAGATGTAATTCGCAAAGTGGTAATGAGGTCGCTCGTTAAATTCATTCAGTGTCGCTCTGATTATGTGAATGATTTGAGAAATTAAATTGTCATACTAACTGAAATGTTAAAATTTTTTTTTGTAAATACAAAACATTTATTGATAATAATTTCGATAAAATTAATTATTTGTATTTAGCTGGCCTTCTAACAAGGGACTGGAGAAAACGTGAAAGAAAGAAGCCTGGGCAGGAAGGAGCTCGAAGGAAATTTACGTGGAAGAAACGTTAATATTTCTTTCTCAATCCTCTGTATTTTCAAAATTATATAAATAGATTTCAGTAAATTCTTGTAAAATATTTCATAACTGTTCTAAGATATAATCACCTTACACATTATAAGGTCTTTATTTTAATTATGGAAACCGAATGATAAAAAATAATTAATTAATTATAAATACAGAGTAACGCAGTAGACATAATAATTGCAATAAATACGATTTATTATTTAAAAAAAAAGAATAAGCATTACAAATATATTAAAACTTATGACTTATTCTTAAAATTAACAACATTTTTTATCCTTCAGGATATTTGATTAAACTATATATTTTTTAAATAGCAGACAAACGGAATTGCCTATAATCGCATACGATGCTGCCGTCACATTCTGTTCAAAGGTATTAAACCAAGTAATTTCATACTTTCGGCAAGTATAATTTTGACTGTATGAAATAACAACAGTCTTTGATTTCCTAAATCTGATGATTCACCTTTTATTCTTAAGTTTTTAAATGTTTTACTGACAGCATTACTATAAAAAAAATTTGTTACAGTTGAAAGAATTGTATAAAATTAATATGTTCAAAATTCTAATATTATATTTAATTTATTATGATCACACTGACCATAGAGAAAAAAGATATACCACTAATATACACGGTTCTAATTCTTTGTAAGATTTAAGAATTACTTCATCAAATTGACTAATTAATATAATTAAATTATCAATTTCTTCTTCCTTTAACAGACTTGGATTACATTCTGTTATTAAAGTAGCACCAGTGGTATGTTTTAAATTGTTTAAACGACAATGAGTGTATTGCAATTTTATTCCAGTATCACCTTTCATCTAATGTCAAAACATATTATCCACGATTAATAAATAATATATCTCAAAATAATATTTAATGAGAATAGCAGTTTATTATAACAAACTTACATTAAATAATAGGTTCCAATCGAATGTATAATCTTTCATTCTTCTTTGTTTTAAGTCATTTAAAATAATACCAGACATGCCCAAAATATCAGAACTCTCATCAAATTCATTGAAATTAACTTTAGTTGCTGAAATAAAATAATATTACATAAACATTTACATTTAATTTGAGTTTATTATATTAAGATATCACTGAGTAATCTTCTAAATACATAAAAGTTAGAAAATTCCATGAATCAAGTAATTTATGTTAGTTGCAATGAATTATGATCATAAATATAGTTTACTTACTTGGCCTTATTAATTGCCTTTTTTTCATAATTTCCTGTGCTTTGTTCAAAATATCATGTAAAAATATTGCTGTACCTCTCCTTGTACTCATACCACGAACTCTTCCAAACTTAACATGCATTAATTTATGTGACCAAGGCATTCCCATTTTGTTCAAAATTTGAATCAAAGTTGAAAAATAATCAGTTTGACCATTTTCCACAACATAGTACATATTATCAAATTTATATTTTTCAAATCTATCCACAGCAGCAGCAATATCTCTAGTTATATATAATGTTGAACCATCACTTTTAATAATTGGAATATTTCTTTCTTCATTTAAAGGTATCACCTTTCTTTCCACCATATCTAATGTTAATAATTGCAGTTCTTCCATCAGACTAATAATTTTATTTATATTTTTACCAGCATACATAGACTCCCAATGATACTCATCAAAAATTACACCTAGTCTTTTATAAGTTTTTTCTAATTCTTGAACAGTGTAATCTTTAAATGTTTCCCATTTATTAGAAATAATAATGTCTCCAAATTCCAATTGTCTAAATATTTCTTTAGCACGCTCGTTTATTGTTGAATCAGTCTCTGCTAATTTATTAGCAGTAACATATGCTCTGTACAAAGTCTCGATAGGATTGTTTTGCAATTGCAGATTATTATTATCACATAACATTTCAAGTCCCAAATAAATAAAACCAAATTGTGTGCCCCAGTCTCCTAAGTAATTTATTTTTTTAACTTTATTGTGTAAGAAATTATTTATATTAGCAATGTAATTTCCTATAATTGTAGAACGTAAATGTCCCAAATGAAATGGTTTAGCAATGTTTGGTGAACTAAATTCCACTATAATATTTTTATTCTTGCTTACAAGTAGTGGCGGCGTTACACCAGACTGATTACTTTCTATAATTGTCTTTATATATTTATCTCTTTGCATATTGAAATATATAGTACTATCTTTTATTATGATATTATCAAAAGTATCATCTGAATCATTCTTTACAATGTTTTGAACTTCATTTGTTATATTATAATAATCTGATTTTAAAGGAAGTGTAAAACAATACATGTTATTTGCTTTATTTAAATTTACATGCAAATTAGTCATTATCTGATTTTGATATGCATTGTCTAAATGTGTTAGCGGTTTCACAACCTATAAGAAATAATCATTTTAATTACATGTAATACAGTTTTTCTTTAACAAACTAGCATATGTTTTTAATATATATAAACAATATTTAACCGCAGATTACTAAAATATAATAATTTGTACTCAAAGGACTTTTCAACAGTTCAAATAACCGGCAAATAACGACATTTTTATAACCTATAAATCATTTTTTGTATATTGCTAATAAAAAATTAAATAAGAAATTTATTATAGACATTCGTTAATTATAAACTTTGAAATTACAAATTTAAAATTATCTATAAAGAAACTGTGATGACTATAATGTTAAGAATTTAGAAATAGTGAAACCAAAATACTACACCTTTTTAAAAATTATAGATCTTAAACTGTTACTCATATTAAAGAAATACAATGATTTTGAAATGAATATTTCAATTATTATTTCGATTTTTTAAATTTAATCTTTTGCAGTATACTTTGGATGGTTTATATCATGTAACGTTTCATCGTTTCTTATTAGACGCACTAGCATTCTAGGCTAGTTCTTGTTAATCTTGCTACTGATTCGTAAATAACATTTTATATAAGTTAACATTTATTGTGTTTTCATTTAATTTAATTCGTATTTAATAAGAAAAATATTGCCAATTATTTATGTGATACTTAAGTATTTAAATTCAAATTCGTGTAAAAATTGTCTGAACATCAAAAACGTACAATCAATTTCAACGTATGGTAAACAAAATTTAAGAAAATGATGGCAAAGCATTAGCGTAATAATGAAAGTATATTTTTTGTTTGAATGTGCTCGCAATCTTTTTAAAGATTCTGGAAACTTGCTCGCGAAGATGGTTGTATGTAAAAAAATAAGAAGAAAATAATGAATTACGTTTCCTAGGTTATAAAACAACAAACAACTTGTGAGGTAAATTTTCAATTTTCTTACATGCCATATGATCAATAATGTTCATCTTTTAAATAAGTTGTTTAAAGAAATCGAAAAGTCAAACAAGTGCATATAGTTCTATGTTTTATTAATTATATTTGTGTACTATGCGATGATTGATTAGTGTTATCCTTTACTGATAATTAGCAAAGACATGGAGAATCAAATCCATTCTGAATTAATTATGAAAGAAGAGGAAGATGAAGAAGAACAAGAATCTAACAATAGTACAACTGAAACTAAGAATATTGGACGCGACGGAGTAGAATCAACAATTGGTATTAGACCAAGGCCTTTAATTTGTAAGCCAGAGAATGTTAATATAGGATGTAAATCTGAGCCTATAGAAAATAAATGGCAATGGGCTCCAGGAGCATGGCAAGATGCTACAAGAATGAGTGCATTTCAACCGTATAAGGTAGATTTTTATATATGGGTACAATGTTTAAGGTATTTTAAAGGCATCATTGTTTTATTCAAAATTTTCTAGCCTCCTACTTTGCTCACAAATTTACAACGAGGTAACACACAAACAGAAATACCTCAACTTTATGGTGGTAGTGATATTACATTTCACACATTAGCTGGTCAAGGTGAATTTACTCCTGATCACATACATCCAAGTATGTTACTTTAAAGAAATGAATAACTTACTTATTAGGAGTAAGGCTTGCAGTATTAAAATCTACAGTATTTAATATAGACATTACAAGTTATTTCTGTTAAACATTTTTGATTATCTATTTGTAGTCATTTTTTAAACAAGAAATATGTAAAAGTTAGTCATAAATATTAAATTAAAATGTACAATTGCTTAATAGTTACATATTTATTTTGTACTTTATGTTGATTCTACATAAGTAATTTTACCGTTTAATTTTATATTCGTAACTTCTTTTTATTGAAATACATTTTTTTCTTTCTTTTATCATAGAGTATTATAAGTTTATTATTCCGAAGATTATCAGAAATACATACTCGAGAATGTTCAACAACAGATGAGACTTGTTACAACTGCACTAAGTAGTGTAACTTATTTGTTTTTTGTATAATTTGTAAATGTATTGATGAATTGTGATAAAGATACTGTAGATACACCTGATGAGAAGGGTTTAACTGGTCTCATGTGGGCTGCCGGATATGGCCAGTTGGGCAGTGCAAGGCAATTACTTAAAGCTGGTGCTAATAAAAATTACCGTGGACTCAATGGAGAAACACCTTTGCATTTGGCAGCTGCTTATGGACATCATGATGTTGTAAAATTGTTGTTAAACCATGGCGCAGATTCGAATGCAAGCGACGAGGTACTGGATTAATATTTATAAAATTAAAATTGTTTAATAATGGTATCTTTTAAATAATTTAGGAAGGTAATACGCCATTGATATATGGAGCACATGGTGATCATCCCCATGTTTGCTATGAATTATTATCAAGAGGAGCTGATGTTACGCGTCGTAACATGTATGATATAAGCGCTTATCATGCAGCAGTATTAAATAATTCATTAACTGGTAAACAATATTTATACGGAATATATTATTAATAACATATTATACTCGCTACTTCAAAGAAATCATCAACTAATTTTTTTCAGCGAAAGCAGTTATTGAAAATTATCTATTACAACAAGTGATAAATGTACCACCTGACATATTGCAATAACATTTCAATAAACATGTTTTATTTTCATTTCTGTATAATTATTTATAATAGATATTTTTTAATGAATGCATTATCAGAGAATGTAATAATGAAATTTATATTCTCAAATCTTTATGAACAAACATTTTACAGACAATTCGTTGATTATTTATACACATTTACTTAGTAATAAGTAGTAAATAACTTTTTACTTATAAACATAAAGGTAAAAAAAGAAAACAACATGTAATGTTATTACATTTAATAACATAATAATTGAAAATATTAATATAATGTTTTGTATGTATATATACAAACATTTATAGTATTTTATATTAATGTTGTTTTAAGAACAAGCAAGCGACTATATAACACAAATGTGTTTGAATTATGTGCATTTCTTCTTCTTTTCTTTTGGTTCCATATATCATTAGTTTCTTTATTATTATTTTCAAAAAGATAAAGTAATATTTTTTTTCTTAGAAATGAAATATATAAAACATTAAATGCTTTTAATAATACTATTAAAAAAATAAGATGAACCGAGTTAATACATTTATATGCATTAATAAATTCTTTTGTTAAAACATGATTATATATCATTTTCTGCAATTATTATGGCTTTATGGTTATACATATGTACGTAACATACAAAAAAATATCGCTATGCTTCTCCATACAGTAATATCTCATTTTCTATTATACTGGTTCTATAACGGTACAAAATTTGTAAGGAACTAATTTCGAAAATGTGTAATGAAATTAATATAATTTAATTTATTTGTATATAATATGTGTAACTCGTAAAATGTGAAAATAATTTTTAATGTTATTTCTTAACCAATTATAAAACACCTTTGTACAGTTTTCTTTAATAGTTTGACATTAGGCATGTACTAAATAGAACAAATTATTCATAGGACACGTATTAGCGTACCACTTCTAATGCATTAATGAATACAACTTTTGATAAAAATAGTGGTCATGTGAAATGAAATTATTAAGCTGAAAATATTTATCACTTTTGTTCCAATAGACAACGCCTAAGTTAGTATCCTTGGACACATTAGCACAAGTGGTTAACTGATCATTTTTTGGGTACCTATACCACTTCGTAATTATCAGTAAAGAAAACTGTTTCTACGGAATACTTAACAGGACTTTCATCTTCTACGAGTAAAACTTCGGTTACCTGTAAAAGGAATACATATCTTCATAATTTTATGGAGAATTAAATAGTAACATTCTACTTTTCATTAATACCAAGACATAGAATTTCATTCTTATTAGTTTATTACTCTATCATTAAAAAAATATATTCACTTATGAAGATATCAGACAAATAGCAAACAATTTTCACATAAATTTTTACATTAATATCATTTTTGTTAACTTTAATCAATTTTATGTATAACATACCTTAATATCGACATATGATGTCTTTGATGAAAATGAGACGCGAAGAGGAAAGAAATCGGCAGGTGTAGAAGAAGGTGCTGAGAACTCCATTGAACCTGAGTTTGTTGTCTCATCAACTATTGGTAGGGACCATACAAGCATATTTCGTCGTGCTTCGTGTGTATATTGCCCGTCAAATTCACTTACAATGGGAGTACAACCCATGGGCAACGGAATGTTTATTTGAATGTCATTTAGCTCAAGATTAAGCTGTTCTAACTCGTACTCTATGTTGACATCGCATCCACCTTCTCCATTTTCGGAAGGCCAACAATTTACTGTTTTAAAATGTAAAAGAAAAATTATTCTTTGTTACATATCGAACAATACATCGAATTTTATGCAATTTAATAAACAATTCCTACTTGATATAGGTAATGCTGTTTCGTCTTGAGCTTGTAAACGCCACTTTAGTACACCAACATCAGTATTTAGTGGGAATGGTTTTGTAGGAATTTTTAAACCTATTTGACCGCGAGATCTAAATAAGTCCTTGTCTACATTAGGATGTGTTTGTAACTGGATCCCTCTCGAATCTTTATTTTCCAATTGTACACGAATTCGGCCCCATTTTTCATCCGAGATATGTAATGTCACCAAACCATGTAATTCAAAGTGTTGCAAACCACCATCCCGACCAATTCGTACGTTAAGTCGTTCTTCCTGTCGCAGGTGAACTCTTCAAATAAAAGGATTTATATGCTAACGATAAATGACATATTATTAAATGTAACAAATTCTTACGATTCTGTATTGATTGCCTGTGGTGCAATTGATGTAGGTTTTGCACCCGATGCGGGTAAAGGTGTTGTTACAACATTTTCTCCTTCTTCTTTCAATTGATCAACAAAAGAATCAACATCACGAGATTTCCCTCCTAATTTCATTGCGCCTGGTCCAGTATTAACCGGTTTCCTTTGTAAAGAATAAAAATGTGTTTATAACACAATTCTTAATGTTGTAAAGCATTATATTATTCCTTACTGCGTTGGTGTGTACGATGGTCTAACTGGTTCTGGTATAAAATTTGCAGTATCTCCTACATTGAGAATTACTGTAAAGTTACTACCACTTCCAAAAGCATTACCAAATCCAGGACTTTTGAGACTACTCTTTTTATTTGCTTCCATTCGTTGCCTTTGTAATTCCTTCGCCTTCTCGCGCATTTTATTCCTAGCTTCTCTTTCTTGAGTCATTCTCACTGCTTGATAAACTTTTTCTTCGTGTGAGTCCATTTCCACAAATGTTCTAATTTGTGCTAAGTTGACACTTTCCCTATATCCCAGTGCAACTATTTCATCAAATGCAAATATCAAATTGAATGCATTTTCAGCTATTTCAAGTTCATCTATTGAATTACAATATTCTGGAATCTAGAAATTGTATTATAATTATTAACTAAAATTAATTCATTACTATTAAGAATTAGATATGTGCTGAATAATTAATGAATAATTATACATTTTATATTTAAGGAATACTTACAACTCTTGCAAAGAGTCTTAATGTTTCTAAATCTTCTAATATATTACTAGCTTTTGTTGTAATCAATAGCATGTATACTTTTTCCAAAGGTTGATAAACATATCTCACAGATTCTGTTTCTACAAATGTATGCTGTTTTCCAGAACTCATTAACTTTGGAAATGCAGCAAGTAAACCTTCTATTCTGGCTTTCGTCATTTCAACAAACTGACGAGAAATAATAGCTGAAATTTTCATAAAATTTTACTTATTAGTTTTAATCAATAGGTCAAACTTTTCTTAAACAGAAATAACTTAAATGATCCATGAAAAATGTAGTAACTATTTTAAGTAATATTATACAAAAAATGGTCACAAGAAAATGATTCATACAAAATATTTTAATGATTTATATAGAAATATATAAACATCCTAAAACTTGATACTACATGATGATTTTTTTTATCTATTTGCTAATTCTCATATTAATGTAATTGTCTGTAACTACTGAATTTCTTTTCTATTGTTTTTACAGCACCAAGTTTAAACATATCTAGATAAATTGAAAATTAATGCCCACACGTTGATAAAACGATTTTTCCTGTGAAATAAAGTATAAAATTTCCCAATTAAATATTATTTAATTTATACTATTATATTGCAAATATCAAGTTTCTAGGAAACATTTCATGCATACAAAAGTAATCCATGTGAAGAAGTGTTTATAATAGCTAAAAACGAAATGAATTAACAATTAAAAGTATGATCGTGTGAATATTAAGAAATATAGTATAACACCACACACACACAGCGCGTGTACACACACATACACATACACAACAGGTGCGGTCAAAGTGAAGCGTTACTTACTTTTGCCTGCTTTAGTGCAGACCGCCGCAGCAATAAGTACCTGAAACAAAAACAACTTGTTTTATCGTACACTAAAATTTAATTTATTATTCATTTCGGCAATAACCGTGAACGGTAATTGACATCTGTGTTAAGTGGATTGGCATAGCTTTGCTGTAAATATCTTTTATGGTTCGCATATAGTGACAATGACTTAAATTCAGTAATATGTAAACGCTCACCATTTTGACGAATTATTTTAATACGTTACGTGTTGTACGATTAACCTAATACAATTTTTATATAAGCCAATCTTCCGTCCACATCATATATACAAATACGAGGGCACGAGCAGAGGGCGCACTGTAGCTGACGTGTGGCATGACGAAAGATATAAGCCACGAGTTAGATGATTCAAAAGTACGGATATCGTTTTGGAATTTTCTGATACCACGAACGATGTGTAGCGACAAAAATTAGTATTTTTGGAAGAAGAAATGTTAAAAAAAATATTGATATTTTCTTCGAGAGCTCTGTTCAGTGATGTTTACTTAGCAAATCTTACTTTAGAAACAATCGTTTGAATGTTTGATTCTCTAACAGAAATTAGGCGCTCAAGGGGGAACTTGCGAGAATCGGTTACTATTTATAGCACTCTGGTTACAGAGTAACAATAGACAACAACAGATAACAAGAGTTGTTACTCTGTACTCTAATGGTAAGTTAGGCACACGTTACTGTAGTCCAACAATGTAACATCACAGACGAGGTATAGGTTAGGTTAGCTGGAGGATACATACTACCTCGTCTATAATATCCTTACATATTGTATGCAAAGAACTTGTTACTCTTGTTTGAACATGTCAGTTTTAAATGTAATAGATATAGCACAGGGTGGAATGTAGAATTATTGGTTTTATTAATAATATGTCTTATATTATAGGTAAATAAATAATTAGAAATTGCTATATTACATAGTATAATTACTTTTTTTGTATATGTACTTGTGTACATTTTATCAAGAATTATTAATTTGTAAATTATGATGAAGTCGCAAGAATCGTGTGATTTTGAATTGGCACGTAAATTATATCAACAAGATCAGTGCTTCGGATTGACGGAAAATGCAATTTTACCAAAAAAAGTAGGTTCTTTTTTCTTAAATTAAAATCATTAAAACGAATGTTTGTTTATGCATAATTTTCTAGTATTAAATACTTGTTATAAACTTATTTTTAATATTATCAAAAATACTTCCAGAATGATGAAGAAAATTATAAGCCAAGAACATTAATTGATCAAACATTAGAACTAATTGATCCAACTCCCAATATTTATACATTGTTTGTGCAATTTAATGAACGTTTCTTTTGGAACGTTTTATTACCTGTAGAAGTTAAATGGAGTCGTAGAATGACAAGGTAAACAATCTATGGATCTTAATGTACATGTATGTACACATTATTTAGTTAATATTTATAGATTAATTTCATTATTCATAAAATGTAGTTGTGCTGGCGTATGTTCTTTTCATCCTCGAAATCGACAATGTATAATTTCACTTAGTGAACCTTTGTTAAAACTTAGACCAAGAAAGGATCTTGTGGAAACTTTGTTGGTAAGTTTTTATTATTATAAATCATTTGAGTTATCTTTGATATTATATAAAATTATTAGGTTGTTCAGAAAGTTTGTTTTAAATCTTTTATATGAATTAGAAATATAATATTTTAATTAAAATAAAATTTGTCTATGGTTAAAGAGTTAATTTAATTTTATGCACAAATTATTTTATAATATCCACGCTTTGCACTGTAGCATGAAATGATTCATGGATATTTGTTTATCACAAACAATAATCGTGATAGAGATGGGCATGGTCCAGAGTTTTGTAAACATATGGACCGAATAAATAAAACAGCTGGAACAAAAATTACTGTATGTATTCATAATAAAATAACTAATCTAATATGTTGATTTAAATATTTTGTAATAAATATGTTTTTCTCTACAGATATACCACAGCTTTCATGATGAAGTTAAATTGTATAAACAACATTGGTGGAGGTGTAATGGTCCTTGTCAAAAAAGGGCTCCATATTTCGGAACAGTACGTAGGGCTATGAATCGTGCACCAGGTCCAAATGATTTTTGGTGGAAAGAACATCAGCAAAATTGTGGTGGTCAATTTATTAAAATTAAGGAACCTGAGAATTTCAAAGTAAAAAATTCGAAAAATAAAGAGAAAACAAAGCCTGCTCCAAAAAGTAAAAATTCAACAAATAATATGTTGAACTGGTTTACAAAATCCAATTCTTCTACTGCTACATCATCACCTACATCCACTCTTAAAAATATCAAATCATTCTCAAATACTTCGAATTCATTGAACGGATTAAAAAATTTTGGGACTAAAACAAATAATGTTCATGATTTGAGTACAAAGAGTCCAACTAATTCAAATAGTTCGCAGAAGCGTAACACTACATCAACAACCACGACCCTTGTAAAGAATATCAAATCACAGTCGAATGCAACAGACTTATTGAACAGATTTAAAAAACTTGGAAATAATACGAATAATGTTTATGGTTGGGGAATAGGTGGTCCAAGCACCTTAAATAATTCACAGAAATCTAGCAATTCAATTTCAGATAAACCTAAATTTTCTTCTTCTGAGATTCTTGGTGGTTCTAATACGGGACGAAGTAATCTATTAAGTAAATTTGATACTAGTAAATGGCATCCTAAATCAAACATAGATATTAAAGAATCAAAAAAAGCAATAGATACATTCATTACTGCAAAGACCAAAGAACCGACTATTAATAATAATAATCAGCCGTCAAATACGGTAAAACTTGCAGAATGTCCAATATGCAGTAATCTTGTGCCAAACGATGATATAAATAAACATATAGATTCTTGCTTGAAGATAACTGATGATGTCAATTCTGCTAAATCGCAAATAAAAATAGATAATACTTCAACCATGCTGAAAAGAAAAATCGATACGATTACATTTCCAAACAAGCAACAAAAATTAGAAAACTCAGAAAATTTAAGAATAACAAATTGTCCTGTATGTGATGAAAGTTTCGAGCTTAAGGATATAAATGCACATCTTGATAAATGTCTGTTAGACTCGAGTAAACAAAATGATTCGACTATTAAATTAGATGACAGAAATGATGCAAATGAAACTAAAGATGATAGTATAATTTCCATAAGTAGTTCCAGTGGTAATTCATCCTCCACTTCAATTACCGAGGACTTAAAAGATCTTTGTCCTAATTTAGTGTCAGAGGAAAATAATGCAAGTCATACATCACAAAAATGTTTAGTCTGTAATATATCTATTCCTCCTGAGATGTCGTTAAATGATCACTTAGAAGACTGTATTGGAAATCTTTTTAATGATGAGTCAGTATTATCAACAAATTGTAATGACGCAAAAATAGTATCAATTGACCAGCATAATAAATATCCTTGCCCTGTTTGTATGCAATTAATATCAGAATCTTTCATGAATCAACATTTAGATGTATGTCTTAAAGACACATGACTGCAGTAAAACATTTGTTGATAATGTGATACACATTGTAGATGTAAAATAAGGAGATACGAATTGTATAGTTTTTATTTAAATATTTATAAATTTCATTCGTTTTCTTCCAATTATATACTGCCATTTTGTATTTATTTTTGTAATAAATTTATATTATTTTGCAAATTAATATCATTATTTTATATGAAATATAAAATATTAAAATGTTGAATTAACAACTTTTAATGGATCACCTAATTGATTTTGGATACTTTTAATTGTATGTATGTATGTATGATTTTATTGGCTTCCCCTTAGGGTTACAGAGCCTTTCCTCCTTTCTTTCACAATTCTTCCTTAAACTAACTTAACTTCTACCGTTTACCTATCCTCCTTCGTTCGCTTTCCTCCCCTCTCTCTCTTTCCGCTTATCCTACTCTTAACCTAACCTTAACCTACGCGCTTTGTACCAATCGCTTCGCTCGCATCTCTCGCTTCGTCTCGCTTCGTTTCCTACTTCCTAACCTTAAAACTACGCCTCCGTATCTCAACGCCCGCCTCCTCCGCCTTTGACTTCCATTTCCATACTTTCACTCCATTCCTATCTTCCATCTTTCTCTCTCCCTTCCCCTTCCCCTCTCTTCCTCCCCCCTTCCCCCTTCTTCCTTCCTTCCTTTCCTCCTAGTTTTTTGCTCCCCCTCTTTCTTCACTCCTTCTTTCTACCTGTCCCTCCATTCTCCTCCCTCCCTCCCTACTCCCCTCCCTTACTTCCCTCTCTACCCCTCCTTTCTCTCTCCCCCTCCAGTCTCTGAGTACTTCCCTCCGCTCGTCCCAAAACCACATCGTCCCATCCACCATTATCTTTCTGTAAAACACCCTCACTCTCCTTCCCTTCACCTCCTCCTCCTCTCCTATCCTCCTAAGCTGCCACTGCATCCTCCTCTCCCTCCACGTCATATCGTCCTCCACTCTCTCTTTCCTTCCCCTCAACCTCCCTTTGTTCCTCATCACCTCCCTCTTTGCCTCCGTTGACTCCAACTTCACCTCCAGCATCACCTCCTTCCTCTCCTGCATTCTTCCTCCTACCTCCCTTGCCCCCACAATTCCCCCTTGTAAACCTACAACCGCCAAAATTTCCCTTGCCCTTTGCATAGCCGTTCCCTCCCTCCCTACCCTCTTTATTATCACGTTCTTCCTTCTCTCTTCCCTCTCTTTCATTTCTAATTTTCTCTCCAGCTCCTGCACCCTTGTTTCCCACTCTTCCCCCTCCCTCTCCCAGCCCGCCTTATCTCCTCGCCCCTCCCATGCCCTTCCTGTCTCCATCGCCTCTATCCTCTCCTCTACTCTCTTTAACCTACCTTCCTTCAACTCCACCTCCCCCATCTTTCTCTCTAAACTCTCCATCCTATCTTCCATCTCCTCTCTTTCCCTTCTCCATCCCTCCTCCCATTCCTCCATCATCTCCCTAGTTCTTTCTAGCTCCTCCCTTGTCTCCCTCCCCTGTACCTTCATCTCCTCCCTCGTTTCCCTCATTTCTCTGATCAGCCTCTCTAGCTTCCCCTCCTCGCTCGCCCTTCCCTCCTCCGGCGACCTCTGCACCATTTTTTCCTCACCCTTTTCTCTATCCCTTATACCACCGCTCTCTACCTTATCTCCCGCTTCTCCTTTCCTTTCAATCCTTACCGCCCGATGTCGCCACTGCCCCTCTACCTCAGCGCCTTGCCTGCTCTTCTCTCTCTCTTTTCTCTCTTTCCTTGCCCTAACCTCCAAACTACACGTTCCCTATCCACCTTTCCCTACCTCCCTGCACACCGCCCTTTCCCTCGCCCTTACTCACCCTTCACTACCTTCTCCCCCTCTACCTACTCTCCCACTTTCCGCTCCCTACTCCACCTATAACCACCTTTTTAACTTCTCTTACACACAGCACTCACTCAACCGTCTCTACTCAACCACACCGGAAATGGAAGTCTGGATACTTTTAATTAGATTTCGTAAAAAATACACATTAAATTCAAATTATAAGTTTGTACATAAAATCAGTATATTTATAAATAATTAACATTCCATTTTTTTATAGCATTTACAAAATTCTTTCAAATTACAATTATAGAGCTAAATACTATTCCTAAATAGACCACACTATAAAATGCTTTAATTGTGGCAGTATATTAACACAAGTCGAATAACAAAGTAAATGTTAATTTATATCTATCTTTTCCATGTTAAATCAATTTTGTGCATAAATATAAAGTTTTATAGTTTTTCATATAAATTATTAGCATTGGGATAGCTTAGTGTACATATACCACAACTAAATTCTAGTAAATACGTTGGGAAGAACAGAAGAATTTGTTCTTGAGTCCAATGCATATATAAATAGAGATTCGGAACTATCATGTCAATAGTATTACCATCCAATCTTACCCTGAAACATAACACTTTATTGAAATATCATGTACTTGTAGCATAATAATGTTACTATATGTATAGATGGAAAACTATAATGACTGTTACTGTATAAGTTATCTTATTATTTTTTTAATATTAATAGGTTTTTAATTACTTTTTAGAGCCCAGGGTGTGAAACATGTAGGTTTTTGGTAATGAAATATGTAACGTATTATTGTATAGCGTTCCTCCGGTTGAGTTCGGTATAATTCGTACAGTGTCTATTTCATCATATATATTGACCTTAACACCATATAGATCATTTCGCGCTGATAGCGCGTATTTTGGATTTTCATTGTAACACTGACCAAGCAACAGAACTTCGTGTTCGTTACCGAACGTGTAATTTACGTTGTGAATCGATCTTATAAAGTCTGGTGTCACAACACATGTGCCTAAATTTGGAAGTGATTAAGACAGGTAAGGTACTGTAATCAAATAGAATCAATTCTGCAGGTACAAACAATTAACTACTAGTTTTCTACAAAAATATAACCTAAAAAGAGGCGCACCGACTTACCAAAAAGTGTTTTCAAAACTGACCAGTCCATGTACTTGTGAATTCTAGTTCTTGTTAGAAAGTAATCTATAAAATTGTAATTATATTCAATAACTACTTTGTCGTTGTTAAGCGATAATTCGCCAGTATCCGACTCTTTCGGAAATGTCGCAGTCACAACAAATTCATTGGAAATAGAATCAGAACTACTGTTACCGCCGATAAAATCATAAAAGGCACGGAATTTCCAAGCTAATCGCATTAAGTTTGCTGGTACCTAATTGTGATTATATAGTTAATATTGTAATAGGTTTCTCTTTATTTTAGTAGACCATTGTAGAAAAATATCTTATATCTATAAGTAACAATACTTACTTATAAACTTAAACTTACATTTTCATGTTGTACAATTATTTGATATTTCCTTAGAGTTGATAGCTCCCTTGAAGCTTCATAGCATGCGTCAGAGAATGGAATAAATTGTTTTCCTTTAGATTGTTCCCGGCATTCTTCATAGGGCCATTTTGCTTCTTTAACTTCTTTCAATTGACCTTCGCTAATTTCACCAATTAAATTTAATGTGACCGAGGATCCACTACATTTACCTTTTGCTGTATTAGAAAATCCCCAAACAGCATTTAAAACGATCCTAGCAGAATCACTTGGTTTAGTACTAAGAAAATCCCATTCCCAAGGTATCTCTTTTTCTACTTCTAAACAAAACTAAACAACAAAGCATGTAAGTTACCTTTTCTTTCTATTTGTAATGTAACCAAACAACTTACTTTTAAAACTTGTTGACCCGGTACAATTTTAGTTGCTTTAACTTTTAACGTGTCGGAGATCCAACTAGTAATTTCATAAAGTGCAGCTAAATTCCATTGTTGAAGAATTTGTGACGACTCTGTGTTAGTACGTGTTAAAGACACCATATGGTGGTTAGGGTTTTTGATATATTCGAATCTGACCTAACAAAACATATCTAATGTAAAATTTACAATCTATGTGTTTAAAGTACGAAAAGTCTTAATCTATTAACCTGAGTTCGTTTTGTATCAATTGTACTAATATAAGCAGCTAATCCACAGCTACCTTTTGGTGGTACATATGTGTAGTAATCTAAGAAATGAAGTGCCGTTAAAGCAAACTGCAAAATTGGCCAAATACTACAACAATTCAGAATTAGGATACAGTTATTGTTACTTATCGTTTTTTATCTTTTATAAGAGAAAATATGAGAATCATTTAACTTACGGATAATTAGCTTGGTGCGAAGAGAACACGTCACGGACTAATTTCTCTCGCGATATTGCATTTTCGCAATCGAAAAGTTTCACACATATTTGACCTCCTAATTCTGCTAAGTCAATTTGAAATAAATCTGTATCCTGCGATAAAAAAAATTAATGTCTTTCACCTTTAAAGTTATTAAAAAAAAATATTTAAATACTACTTACATGTGGTTTATATGTTGGTGACTTTGTGACTACGAATAATCGAGTGCAATTAGGACAAATTTTATTTAATTTTGATTTAATATTTGCACCTTTTATGTTGGTGGATGTTCGGGCATGAAATGTGAGACCCATTTTAAGATGCTCTATATAAACACGTTTGATTTTTAGTATAAGGCATAATAAATTCTGCTTCTGAAAGGTAACGATTAAAATTGTTAATACCTCCTGGAGTATTGTATGAAATAAAAGGTCGGTCTTCCAATCCAATTGTGATGTTGACTGGAAGATATCCATGTACAGAATGTTCTCTTTCTGCACTATGCCATACATCAATTAGAGGATTATAATTTTCAATTACTTGTGATCCATGAATAGATGTACTAAAAATGATATATTTATAGTATCAAATTGTATTAAAAAAATGATTAAAAAAGAAACAAGTATTTCATACCGTAATATGACATGATTATTTCTGCCATTTGAAACATGTGTAAAATTTCCTCTCATTGAGAATAACGATGTAGTGGTAACTGCAAATCGGACATTTGCTCCCAGATCTGTGACTTGTACCGATTCTAATGTTAATGGCACATTAATACGTTGTTGATTAACATGAAATTCCACATTTTGATATATATGGTATATTTTGTTAGATAAAGACGAAAGATCTAATGAAATTAAACAACATTAGAATTATATGCTTATTATTTTAACAGAATGCTTAAAACACAGCAGTTCTTATAAATAAAATAAATAAAACAAGAAAGTTGTTTTCTTTTCTACGTAATTCTGTCTATAAAAATAAAAATTACGTAATTTATTAACTTACATTTAAATCCTGCAATAATATTTGTTTCATTTAAGTGGAGGCATAGAACTGTTTTTTCTTGAATACGTGCAATTATTTCTAAATGTACAGGTCCGTTTTGTTTTTGGTCTAATTTAAATTGCTTCAGTATATCCTTTACTTGCGATGGCCCCTCAAGATATGTTGATAATGATTGTATGAGGCCTTCAGCTTTTATATATAACTGTATATTCATGATTTTTTAAATAACATTGTTAATATATAGTATTTTCATTCAAAAGGTAGTTCTAAACTAATACTTACAGATACATGATTTATATTTACTCCACTTCCATAAGTATTCAAAGTTACATATAAAACCTCTGGCATATTTGTTATAGAATTAGCGATGACGATACCACCTATCATTGAACCGAATTTTCTATATTTGTCTTGATAATCGAATATATAATTACCAGTAATTAGATATTCATTATTTGACGATCGACGAAGTACTCGTGTAAATTGTGCAGCTATAGCACCTCTGTAATGACAATTATAATACAAAAAATTGTAACTTAAAAATACAGAACTACAGTATTTAAAATTCCACAGAAGAAAAAGTGTTGTATTACATCTTTACATACATATGAACGTAACAAGGATATGTGGTGTGTTCCAAAGACTTTAAAGTGGTATAAAAATAGTTGTACAAATGTAGATTGGGTTCACTTTGCATGTACCAATATAATGATATTAGTCTGCTTGGTGTAGGGCTAGAAACAATAAGTAATGTCAATGCAGCTACTCTCATTTCTAAATGTTCAGTTCTGTTTATTAAAATTGGCCAATAAACTGGATATATCTACAACAAGAAATAAGAGAATAATATCTGATAATTTATTACGTCACAAGAGAAAATTAAATACTTACAACATCAGGTCTCAAAGGAGCTGTTGGAAGCGATGCCCAAGCAGCAAGGACACGAAAATGCCGCGATTCTGCATTATTACTACTTGCAATAGGTTCTAAAAATTCCACTACTCTTCCCAACTGTATATTTGCTAATCCTTCTAGCCAAATCATTTTCTTTTCGTATTCCTTCGTCTCTACGAATTATTTATTATTATTATAATAATATAGTAACAATGTAAGGAATGTTGAAAATTTATGTCTTATATATTAATACATGCATTTAAATAATAATTATTATATACCTGTAAATTTATCAAGATATAGACGCACATAATCATCTAACATTTCATATGGACAATATAGTAAACATGTTTTATAGATCAATGTACCATATGTAAGAATTGCTGTATTTTGAACTTCGGCAGGTATTTTTTCTGGCAAATTTAAAAATGTTTGTAGATTTACTAACAGTTGGACATCAGGCTTTCGTACATGGAATGGTAACTGAGTAAGAAGTTGAATTGCGGACATGTCCGATACTTTTTTATCTTGAATTAATTCTAATATGAATAGCGCGGCTTCTTTTGTGCCTACTTGCGGCAGAGTTTCCAAAAACATATTTCTGTAATAATATAAAAGAATAAAATTATATATTCTATTTCATAAACTATATATTAAAGCTGTACAAATTAACTATGCTTTCGAGCACCGTATCGTTTCTTCTTTGTAACTTGTTCCTGAAATTGTTGTATATGCAGTACGTAAATCAGCAACATCTAACATCCCAAGATAATAAAGTAAAACAGAAATCGTTGTATTATGCAAATTATCAGTCTCTGTATCCAAACCAGGAGTCTCAAGTCTCTGACTTAATTTATCTAATAAAGTTCCTATCTGCAACACGTAGATATATTATTGTAAATTGCAGAGGAAATATGTTTTAGTTTTATTAACTGTTATTTATAAATTATGTACTATTAAATTTTTATTAATAGTATTTAAAATTATTTATTGTTAAAGATAAGAATCAAGTAACGTATGTTACAATTATGTGTAAATATAAATGTAACTTACAGATTTGAAAACAGTACTTTTATCAGGAGTACCTCTACCTTGTGTAAGGTCAAGTTCTGGGAGTTCGTGTTGTAAAACTTTAGGGTGTAAATCTTTAGTAGGTATCTTATTTATGATGTCTTTCACCGAAATTAATTTAAAAACTTGCCTGTATTAAGGAAAATAAATATAAAATAAGTTATAAGTCAAATAAGTATATAACGAACAATACAATTTCTTTGTAACTGTAATCGAATTTTTTGGTATAAAAACATTTTATTTGATTGAACATACCTTGTGAAATGAAACTGAGCATCTCCAAAACTTTGAAAAGGTTGTATATATATGCCTCCAGTAGCATTAACAAACAAAATTTCATTCAAAAATCCTTTTGCTTTAACTTTATACAACCTTTCACTAGATTTTAATACTGGATTCTAAGCATATATAAAGTCTGTTTTATTATATTAAACACAAAATTATCTTGTAAAATGTTCACATACAATAAGAGAAGGCTTTCTAATAATTTTCAGTCGTATATTAATTTTATTTATGTCATATAATTGTATGTACAAAATTATATACTTACTTGATCTCCATTTGGACACAACATTTTGGGAACATTTGACCATGTGTAATGAGGATGACCAATGCACATTCGAGGATCTAAAAATTTCCTTATCACCCATTCATTTTCTTCTTCAGGATTAGCAATGTATTCAATGTTACATTGCCCATAGTGATTTCTCTATAATATAAACATATTTATAGTGACACTAAAAATAAAAATAATGTTTTTTACAGAAGTACTTTATTGAAAGGTTTATCAATGTATAATGAAAGTCTTTACAATGCAAACAATTCTAAGTGTACATATACAATCACTTACTTCAGTTGAATGAAATGCTGCTTCCTTTTCTAAATTAGAGAGATCTAATTGTAAAATTCCTGCTATACTTCTTTTTATATTTGTGGACCAAGGAGATACAGCTTCAGTGCTAAAATTTTCAACAAGACCATTCCTGTGTGTAATTTGAAATGGTTTCAGAAGTTCTGCTACCTCATCTGTAATGTCATGATCTTCTCCTTTTCCTTGTATGTTACCATTCCATGTAGTTAACTTCAATGATTCCAACTATATAAAAGTATTGGTTCATTGCAAAATATTAGTTGAATGAAAATAATAATCAATGGCATAACCGAATAAATTGAAGTAATGTTTTAAAATATATGAAACCACTGCAAATAATAAAATTGAATGGATGATTCCATGTTTTATAGTATCATTGATAATGTACAATGAATGTGTTGTTTCAACTTTATCTTTCACACCATAATACTATTTTAATATGATTGTGAAGCATACCTGCATTACAACTACATTTTCATTTGCTTGAATTACAAGTTTTCCATGAAACCCCCATGAAGATGATGCACCAGATGGTAACAAAACACCAGAACTTGAAAGTGCATTGTAGGAATATGTATATTCTTTTTCTGATTCAAATATATTGTATGCAGTAGAATTGTTACACAACAGAAGAAATAGAAACACACTTTTCCCAAATTGGTGTGCCAATACTTGTAACAAATAAGTGGTATCTGTAAGAGAATGTTTGTTTTTAATTAATATGTAAATAAAATATTTATTAATTCCCCAATTTAATCTCATTATCTTATTATAGTTATGAAGTCAGTTTGTTTCAATAATATAATATTTAAGCAAATTTACAATTGTACAATTGATATCATTAAAATTAATATCAATTTATACTAAAAATTTTAAACAATAAGTATTTAAACGAAACTGTAAATATTTATTTTCTCCAATGCTGAATATCATCATTAAATAATAATGTATTATTGAAATTAAAGTAATGTATTACTGGTATATTAACAACTAGTGTTTGCTAATATGCCTTAATTAAAAAATTATGTATAATTTTAAATAAGAATGTTGGCTCTATACCTGTTAATTTCATGGTGTGCATTGGTAGCTTAACAAAAGTGAACTGAGTTCATAAGAGTCAAGAGATGACCCTTACTGTCTCTATCTCTGTGACCCATGAATACGTTTTCACCATCTGTGTGAGTAAAACTTATCTCCTCCCTAAATTATCTTCAATCGTATAAATCAGTATGTTACGTTTCCCCTGTATATTTTTATGTAATGTATGAATCATAGAAAAGTTTATTTCTTCTTTAAAATTATCACTTGCGAGAATTAATTATTTTTTAGTAATAACTTGAGACAAAATTGTACACTAAAATTCATTTCTAAAAACATGGTGTAAAGATAAAACGAGCTGAGAAATATAATACAGCTTACTTTACTTCATGTCTAGAGATTCGTATATTTTCTCCTTCATAAAATTTTCATTGTGATGACTTGTTATTCCAGAAGCTATGGTGGAAAGAAATATAATACACAGTGGAACTACTAATTTACACGATATAAAAATAATTTGTAATTTGATAAATGAAGTGAAAAGTATCTGTTACTTTAAATGTATTATCAATTTTCTTCTGTAGTTATAACAGGAAAGCTAAACACAATCTGATATTTACACAATTTATTTTCACATACTGTTTATTATTTACAACCGTTATTGGAAAGTGCACTATATTATCAGAATCTTGTTTAATTTATTTCTATACAAAATTACATTTTTATATATTACACATCTAATTGTACTGTAATTCGCCATGTACAAGATCCTTCCAGATGCGTACAAAACTATAGATAGGCATATTAATGAATACCATAAAATAAAAGTACCATAAAATATTATTAAGAAATGCATACATAATTAATACATTACAAAGGCTTGATTATTTTCAGAATGGACTTCGAATATTCCCAGGCTTCACTGTAACAGTGAACAATTAGTTTAAATTACATGCAAATCTGGAATTATTATTTATATTTCATACATATTCTTAGTATTAAAGAAACGAGTTAAATTACTTATTCTCGATATGTATACAAAATCCAGATATTATATTCGATCATTATAAAATTTTCTTAAGAAATCATATAGAATAGAAAAAGGATTAGAATTTAAAAATAAAAATGTATACTTACTTATGCGCTGGATTTGCTTGATCTAACTGTTCACTAAGTTGCTGAATAAGTATAGCAAACATTCTCAGATGTTCTATTGTTTCGCCTTGTAACCATGCACGAGGCAGAGTACTCATTACCTATCACATAAATATACCAGAATAATAATAAATGATTATAAATTTTAGAAGAAAAAAATCGATATATGAAATTATCAACGTACCATATTTGCTTTAAATAAAGCATCGGTAGGAACAGAAACTCTCAAACCCGCTAAAAGATATCTATTTAATAATGAACCAAGTGCCAAATTTTTTAATTGTGTGTCCCCAAGAAGACCCTGCCAACTTAACAAATTTCTCAAAAGCTTCACAGCCATAGAGAACTGTCGTTGAAAAAATTGATGTTTGGTATCCAAAACTCTGAAAAATAGAATTAGAAGTTGTCAATATCAACGAATAAATTACTATTGATATTTTTGAATGAAATGTACAATATATACGAACTGTTTAGGAAAAATTGGTATGAAAACATCATTTTCCACCGCTGCCTTAATTTTCTCTAGTATGGTATTGAATAATGTTTCTAATGATTTACTAGAATCGTTTAAATTTGGATACTCTCTAATAAGACGGTTTACTGTGCCCACAAGCCGTAATGTTTGCGATGTAGACATTGGATCCCATATTTTCTCGACTATAGCTATAAATAAGAATCAGCAAAATGTCACAATGTTTTTGTGTTTAGTGTATAAGGAAAAATATAATTTGAATTGTATTGTACTGAATAATCTTACATGTTAATTTAGGTACGACAATCTTTTCCACTGTAGACGGAACCAATCTAACATCGGGATCTCTCTTAAGCGATTCTTCTGTTTCTTTATTATCTAATGCATATAGAAGCAATGTATTGTACCATTTTGTTCTTTCTATATCAGCACTTTCCTAAGAAAGAAATACATCGAAGTTTAATTTTATACACTTATAAATATTGTATTATTACGTTAAAATAATAATACAATAAAAACAATAAATAATGATAAAAGTACCATAATAGGGTTCCATGTCAACAACTGTAATCTAATAATAGGTGAAATGATTTTGGGTATACACAAAGAGACGTAAGCCTCCAAGTAGGCATCTCTGTCAGTTTCTCTCCAAGATTCGAACTTTGAAAGTATTCCTCTCAGTGTACAGTACTCGTCTATGACGTCAGAGAATATTTCTTTACTTTCATTATCAATCTCATCTGAAACAGACACGCGAACAAAATTTAGAAAAACAGAAATATAAATTAAAATATAAATGCATAAAAACAGCATACAGTTCTCTCTTTTGTTTTTGTTGTATAAATATAATTAAGTGTAATAAAATACAACCTTTTGTTTGTTTAAATGCAAGATTTTGTTGTTCAGTAACTTCATCGTCGCTAGACATTCCGTCAATGTGTTTTGGTAGAGTAGGAGCTAATTCTCTAGCTCTTCTTCGACGAGCTCTTCTTCCCTCTCTTTCTGTAGCTCGGCGAATACGAGCTTCAATTTCTGGACCTCTCCGTATAGGTTGACCTCCTATAATTTAAAGAATAGTTTTTGTTTAAATACAATGATTCAAAATATATTTTTTCTTAATTTTTAACGGGCGTAACGTATGAAACGGTTACTTAGATTTATCAGATACAAATATACTAAAATAACTGACTTGCAGCTGTTGTAATTTCTTCAGCTTGATCTCTTGTATCTTGTCGTCTTCTTTCCATTAGCTCAGTTGCGCGTTCACTATAAAGATCTAACCAGCGTTGCTCCAATCCCACAACCAGAGGCAGCTAACAAAAAAGTTACACGTTAACATTCACACAGTAAATTAATTCAATGACTTTGAGAATTATTTTTTCTCCAGCAAATGAATATTTCTATATATATGTTGTTTCATAGCGAAAAGAAATTAAATATACAATTTGCTGCATACAAATAGTATATAGATGATAAAATAACATTCACGTTTAACATTTGCTGGAACTTCAAATAAGATTCCATGGCCATTGGATATCTTTCGTTTAGGAAAAAGTTAAAAATCAATTTACTTACCACCCATATTAACTTATTTTGTCATTTTTTATAAGTACTTAAAAGTAAATTTTACTATATTATAAATAATTTTTTTTTTTATACAGAGAAGATACAGACCCCCGGCAATACAAATATACATTTTGCATGTTTTATAATTGTTTCGAATATTTTAATCTTTAATATGCATTTTTCTTTTTCCTTTTCGTCTTGTAAAAATAGTTTTAACACAAATACATTAAAAATAAAAATAATAAAATAGTAAAGTTGCTTGTGACGCTTGAAAATGAAACGACTGAAACTTTCAAAACAAATGTCGATGTTTGTTACCATTTTAAATAGTTTTTATATTTTTGCGATATAAATATAATTAGTTACAAATAAGAAATATATCCTGTAATCCTTTGTGATATTTTAACTTATTGATCTTGATAATACTTAAACTCCAGGGAAGGTAGGTTACTATATTTTTCCTATGCGCAGTACATAAAAGAAAGAAAAAATAGATTATGTTAAAAGTTTTTTGGATTAAAAATTTGTAGAATAGATTATTTTCCAAGTTAAATCAATATTGGAAATTTGAACACCATCATCGAATTCTTATCCAGTAACGAAAAAATATAGTTAATATTTATAAAAGAACTTCTTGAAAAGAAACATTATGTTTTACTATTATATTGTTTTTTATTTAATAAATTTATGCTTATTACTGCAAATTACGATAACAAAAGATAAGCGTTAACCTTGGTCATAAAAATACTACAAAGAAAAACATCTTTAAAATAGGTGAAAATAACACGTTTTTAAAAATATCCTGTTTTATGATAACAATACTACACGTGTTTTCTTACATCATTTTGTTTTAGTAAGAAAAATGCATTGTTTCTAATATAGCTGAATAATTTATACAGCCAAAAATTGCATGGAAAACCCCAGTGCACATAAAAAAACGTGACAGCGTATAAACCCACCTTCTCATCAAGACACTCTACCAAGTCAGTGACATACCCACGCAACTCTTGGTAATATCTGAAGCGCTGTGCAAGCTGCGGTGCACGAATTTCGCCGTCGTCCAGTTCTTTCAGTGTTTGTCCTAATTCTTGTTCTAAACGATCCTGATCTAACTGATGACGTCGGTGTACTTCCTTTAGACTGTCCAATCTGCAAATATACATTTTTCATTACAGTTTTATATTATTGTAAAAATAAAACGTATAAACGAGGACAAAAATTAGTTAACACCGTAAGCACAGATTATAATTGCTTTTATCATTACTAAAATTATATTATTAAATATTTATTATTTTCAATAATTTACCACCTTGCACGCATCTTATTGACAACTTCCTGGGGAGTTACTGGTACTATTTTTGTTGGATCTGGTGGTTGAATTGCTGGTGGAGGTGGCGGTGCCGGCATCATTACCATTTCTAAAGGTACTCCGGTTCCCATCACTTGATTCACATTCATACCGATTGAATATTGTTGTTGCATCATAGAATCTTGTTGTGCTGCTGCGATCTAAATATTTTTTTATATTACATGTAAAATATTATATGTGACTATAAGAAATGCTCAATGGCATCAAAGTGGACACGAGCTGATATACGAAAATGCATAATTAATTATTCTAGTATGTAAAGAAAAAATATATTACTTGTGCGCCTGTTACACCTTTCCTAATTTGTTGAGCTTCCCATTCCTCTTCTTCATTTTCATGTTCACTTTCATCGTCCGAAACTGAAGAAAGCATAAAATGTATTCACTTACAGAATTACAGTTATATACATATACATAAAATAATAATAATAATAATAGTAATAAGAAACCAACGTTTCAATGAAACTTGCGAGGCAAGAAATGCTTCTCTTCTTTTTTCTTTATCACGCGCTTCAGTATTAACAGTCATATCAATTCGATCTTGAGAATCATCATCATCACTTCTATCATGGTCTTCTTCCCTAATAAGTCTCGATTTGCCCTTATCATCGCTGTAAATAAAAATATTCCTATCATTCCCTTTTCCAAATTAAATACAAAAATTAATAATAATTAACGAAACCTGTCAACCTCTAATGCCATTTTGATACAGTTATTAAAAAATATTACCTTTGTTCTTCTATAGGAATATAATCAGTTCCTAATTCTCGTGCTTTTTGTCTGCATTTTCTAGCTGCATGGATCATTGCTGCATCTGGTATACATCCACCTATAGATATAGCAATAACATAATATCTATTATAGTGTATACTTAACAAATTAATCCATTAAATACAACAAACTGAAAATATTGTATTAATATGATTGCAGTGCGCGCTGATAAAAACGTTACATACTTTCAAGGAGGATCTTCATTGTATCAGCTTTATCTGTGTTTCTTCTAAATTTATGATTACGTGGTTCATCGTCCTCTTCATCAGATGTATAATCATCCTTTCCAGCTGCCAGTGCAGCTCGTCCATTTAAGATTAAAGGTCCTGTATTCTTTATTTTAACCTAGTAATAAAAATTAATTGTTGCTTAATAAAATCTCGGGTGGACAATATTAATACTTTAAATAATTAATAATTATTCATAATATAATTGACATTACATTATACTGCAAAAAAAGGTACAGTGGATGTAAAAGCTTGAGGACAGTTGTCTTTCTAACTGTATTTTGAGAAGGGAAGACAAAGACAACTTTCGAATAATATAGAATTAAAATACAATGACCCACGAAACAGAAGCATTTGTTTCATTTTCAAGGAATACTTCTCTATTTACAGAATAAATGGAAAAATAATTGTCCAAAAGCTTTTGCACAATTCTGTTTATATTATAGCAATATAAATTTTTTAAGAAATTTTGCATCTTATGAAAATAACAAATTATTAAATAATACTGCAAAACATTGAGTTTTGTACTAAAAAATGTTAACTTACGATGCATGTTCATATTTTAATAATTCTGTACATTTAATATATTTAAAGTATTTAGTGTATTGTTTTATATCCATTATATTAATGCAATTATATTCCACGTTTGATACAGTAAAAGTTTTTACATTTAGGAAACAGTATAGCTTACAAAAATAAATGCATAAGATGTATATACTGACATGTATCTTTGTCACATTCTTCAATGCATACCAAATATTGTATGGAGTGAATGTAGTGAAAAAAAATGAAATCCTGATTTGAGAGTTCTAAATTATTGAAATTGAAGAAATTCTAATAATAATAAAACATCATAGAGATAGCTTACTACTAGATCATCTGTCTTTATTTCTAAATCTTTTTCCTGTTTAATGGACATGTTCGCTTGCTCAGAGTCCAGTTGCATTTTCTCTTCACCTTTCTTTTTCCTCCTTTCGTGATCTAGCTGTTTCATCAATTTTTTGCTCCTTGATGATTTCTTCACTTTAAAGACTTCGCCATCATCCGCTGTAAAATAACAAACTGTTAGATTTTGTACCAGATGGCTCGAACTAACAAATAATCAAGTATATAACAAAATTTGTTATTTATAATTGAGATAAATATATAATGAACAAAAGAAATATAGTAAGTTATGTTACAATATAGTTTTTAATTATCAAATTGCAAAAACTTTTTATTCATTAGATATGGTTCTTTAAATAATGAGAGAAAGAGAGGACTATTCAATTTTGATGTAAAAAGTATTTGGATGCTATACAAATCAGACCTATAAAACTGACCTATGAAACAGCTGTGCCCTATAGTTAGATGTTACAATTTAAAAATAAAAATAAAACTGAAACAATGATACTTTAGGATTTTATATTTAAAAAATAATATAATACAATTGTTCACCAAAAACAAGTTATACCAGGAACCATAAATAATTAGGTTGATATGCACAAATCGTTGTATTTCTGAAATTAAAATTTTGCTGTATAATAACATAAACTGCGTAATATTTCATTGTTAATTATTATATATCATACTAAAGGAACAAAGTGGTATTCTAACATACGTGTTATATTGTTATTTTTAAGGAAAATGCCTATATTTTTGTTTATCATTAATCATTAATTGGGCAAACTATTACACAATAAAGTAGAATATTATATATTAAAGATAAGAATTTAAAAACTTGGTATAAAAATATAAAATTTGATCATATCCCCCAATCATCTTAATCTTTTACAGATCGATTTGCATTTTTTTCAGTATCTACATGATTATAAGATAAATTGTTCCACATTTAAATATTTGATTTTTAGTATTGTATAAAAATGTTTTTAAAATTATTAGAATGAGGTGAGATCGCTGGAAGTCGTTACCAGAGTTATACGATCGTCATAATTAAAAAATAGAATTTTAAAACATTTTGCAACAAACGTATGTGTGTACGCGTGCACACATATATCTACAAATCACCTTCTTCCAGCTCCTCTCCAAAACTAAGGAGCGTCTGCTTCGGTTTATCCTTCTTCTTTGCTTTAGATTTTATAGGCTGAGTGTCCTCCACTTCCATCCTATTTTCATTATCTTCGTCATCGTCGTTGAAAGGCCGACGACGAATATTCCTCTTCGGTTTATTGAATAATGACATTGTCCTTAACATCAACCAGTCCGTTTAGAAAATTCATACATACACGTTTTCCATATTAACTTCTCGAACAATTATTGGTAAAATAATTAATACGAAATTTCATAGCACGTAAACAAATAGATGAAAAATTCTCTGAAAAAGTACATACGCGTCTTTTGTACGATATATTTTACTATTAAATACACGACAGGAACCAGAAAAACGCGACAGTTCATGAAATTGTAATATGGATTGTCCATCGAATAAGAATCGCTATAGAATCGCTGTTGTCCAGATATATGAAAATTTACACATTCACCGCTAGATGGTTATTGACAGTTAATTTTTACAAAGTCTCTACGTCTCTACTATATTTTGTCTAGAGAGAGAACAGATATCATGGGGTTGTTACGTCGCGATTCCGTTGGTATCACCTATACCGGATGTAGATTACATTCCTTTATCGCGCTCGGTTAACAGCTCGCTTCAAATACAGAATTCATACGACTTAAACCTACGCGTGCTCACATTAATTAATTAACCTGTACTAACCACAACAATTAACAATGAATAATTAATCATTAATTAATACATGAAATACAATAATCAATGCCCGAACATACAAATTATCAACGACTCAACTAGTTACGCTTAAGCGTGGTCTACAACTATCTAGTTACTTCCTATCTGGTAAGTAACTATGCCGAGGGGTCGAAATGGGGAGACGTACGCTACGCGGACGTTACAGGGTGCTGTGTTTAAAATAGATACGCACAAATTTAATAAAAGTTATATAAATTATTATTTATGTATAAAGAGTTTCTATTTCAAGTCAAATTATTTATTCACGGGGATATATATATAATTTAGTATATGTTTTATTATTTTATGGTGACTAAAGGTTACTGCTAATAGCACTGATGGCGTAGTCAAGCTGAGGAATTATGTCAGCGTGTCGGTGTCGCTATGTTTCTTAACTGTAGAAAATGCCAGTTCTATGGTCCTAGGATAATAAAAGTCCCATAATAGGATTCCTTTTGACGTTCTTAGTGATAACTTTTCAATGCTTAGCATTATCAGAAATCCAAAAACAATAGTGTGTAAATTAAATGTTCATTTTACATGATATAAGCAAAAATCGCTAAATCAATTTTTAATGCGCTGTAAGTATGTTTTATTCAATAATTTATGTAAATATTCATAACATTAATTTTACTATAAACAAATATTTACAATGTAAACTATAGACAAATACAAAAAATATGAAAAATTATGCTTGCGCTATTCAAACACACGGCCATCATACTGATATTGCCCTGAAGATTTATAGGTAATAAAATAATTCAAATATGTATTTTTTACTTCCAATTATAAAAATATGTCGAGTAAGTTAATGGTTTATAGTAAATACTCATTAAAACACTTCATAATCATAAAATATTTATATTTGTTTTTAGTAATCGTATATTGTTGATTATAACACATTTTAAAAAGTTTGGATCATTGATAACAGTTAATCGGTGTTCTGCGTTACAACAATTTAATAATGGCTCATTTTCTATAAAGTAAGTAATTTTGTGACTATTATAAAATTTTGTATTTCTTAGATTAACAAAGTCATCTAATTTATTTTAGGGTACTGTTTGGAAAGGATGACATCGATATTCTGGCAGCAGTTCGATATATAGCAGAACAAATTAATGCAGAGAAACCATTACTAATTTCAATATGTTTAAAAGACTATGATTCAGACACTTTAAAAGCTATTGTTGCAGCCATAAATAAAATAAAACCTTGGTGATATTATAAATTAAAAATATAAGTATGAGTTTAATATTTGGCCAATTAGTTATTGGCCCACCAGGAAGTGGGAAAACTACATATTGTAATGTTATGTCCAAGTTTTTAGAGAAACTTGGCAGAAAAGTAGCTGTCATTAATATTGGTAAAAACAAACAGTATTTAATTAATTGATAGTAATGAAATTTAAAATTGTTTATTTTTTGTAGTTATTTTGTTATTTTTATATTTTTAGATCCTGCAAATGAAAACATGGAGTATATACCAACAATAGATATATCTGAATTAATAAAACACGAAGAAGTAATGTCACATTACAAGCTTGGACCAAATGGAGCTTTACTTTATTGTATGGAATTTTTAGAAGCTAATATAAAATGGTTAATTACAAAAGTTTTAAATTTGAAGGATCACTATCTCATTTTTGATTGTCCAGGACAGGTATGTACATATAAGTGTTTCGCTGTACAACTTCATACGTCTCTTAGCTTAAATATAACATTTATTAATAGGTTGAACTATATACTCACCACACATCAATCAGCACAATTGCTGAAAAATTAGAACAAAATTTAGTAAGACTATGCAGTGTGCATCTTGTAGATTCTCACCATTGTAGTGATGTCGGTAATTATATTCATATTGGATTTCTAAATATATTTTTATGAAAAATATAGCAGTATTTAACACTAATGCTTTGGGTTATAGGTAAATATTTATCCTCCTTAATTCTTTGCACAACAACCATGTTGAAACTAGGCTTACCTCATGTTAATGTTATGACAAAGTTTGATGAAATGAAAAAATTTGGTAATTGTCTAGATTTTAACATAGATTTTTATACCGAAGTACTCGATTTAAAGTATTTATTGGATAAACTCGACGAAGATCCTTTTACATCAAAGTAAGTTTTTTCATTGAATAGTTTTATATAAAATTGTTACAAGGCTTCAAATTTTACAATTTTCAACGAACTCTAAGTTATAAACAAAAAATTTTCTATAAATATTTAAAAGTATGTAAGTATAAAATTTCATTGTTTTGTGTTCAGGTGTAAAAAATTAAATGCAGCTTTTGTGTCTCTGATAGAAGATTACAGTCTTGTCAGTTTTATACCATTAGATATTTCTAATCAAGCATTGTTGCTGCAAGTAAAAAATGCAGTGGACAAAGCTAATGGTTACATTTTTGCCGGAAATGAACCTCAAAATGTTCAAACTTTGCTTGCTTGTGCTGTAGGAGCAGTAAGTGAAACTGAAAAAATGTCCACGATAGATTCATATCTTTAATAAAAAAATTTATTTTCTGTATAAACGATGGTACTTCTTTCCATACTAAATTGCTTCAATATAGTTGTGGCTATATCAGGTAAATTTGTTAAATAAATACAGCAAGTTAATAAACATATTTTTATTAATTTATTGAATTCTTGACTAGTCTATTTGATTGACAAATATTTGTGCTAAATCATCATAATCGTATGTCCTCTTCAAGAATATATCCTCCAACTTTAATCCAGAAATGGTCTGCAACATTATAATGTTAAATATTATATTAATATTTCAGTAATGTTTATATAAAAATACTTACAATAATACCACTATGTAGTGGAACCAGACATAAAGGAATATCTATTGATGTTCCAGATTTTAATGTTCCTATCTTTATATTTGATATTCCACACCATGCTATAGAGCTACTTGATTCCAAACTTAACATCAAATCCATACTTCTTTCTCTAGTAAAAAAAACCGTTTAATTATTTCCTTTATTTCAATATAACATTGCTCAGTTTGAGTTCAAAATTATATCTTTTTTTTATTTCTATTCTTTCATATGGATTAATTACTTACGATGTATTTATTATATGACATTTAAAATTAACAGTTTGTTCAAGATATACTTCTAGAGGAATATCCTTTATAGTAACTCTTAAATCACCATATTCGGGTGCCTAAAAAATTAAAATGTAAATGAAATACTAAAGTAATTCAATTACAAATTAATTAAGAAACGAGATAACAAACCATTCTTTGTAACTGACTTGTTTGTAACCTTCCTCTTTCTCCTAAATTACTTCTCCAAACAATATCTAATTTTCCGATGTTTGTTGCATTGTGCATCATTTTCGGATCTTTTAATAATGTCAATTGTGGTTTTAAACAATATAAATACTGTCTGCTACAATCAGTATCTAACACATTTACCGATCCATAAATAGAGTCTCCCTTTTCATTTGTATTTAGCGTTGATACTGAATAAATTAAAATATTCACCATGAAAATTTACAATTAGATTAATGAAAATAATATATAGCAAACTCACCGCTAAATAAATTAGATGACTCGAGTGAAACTTTTTCTAAACATATTGGACCTGCTGTAAGATTCTGTATTTGTGCTTCAAGGTACACTTCGTCTGACTTCAAGAAAATGCTTTCATTAAATTTTATTAAATAACTATTATTTCGAATAATTAAATAAACATGTCACATTTAGTAAAGTTTCCTTATTATGTAAATCTTATTATTGTAAAAATATTACCTCTGCATTATAAAACTTTGTTTTCACATCTAATGGCTTTACCACTTGAAGCCTATAATATTTCCTAAATGATTGTAGAGTGGCACCTGAATATGTAGGTGTATAAGTTATATCACATATTAATCTGAAATATACTTGTATTGACCATTTACTTAATTACATGCTGGAACATTTTTAAATTATATATTCTTACATATGAGTGCCTATTTCTTTTACTTCATGATGTATTACTTCATCAATTGTACTGTCAGGTGCTATATCCTTCATCCTTCCACTATTACCAGAAAGAGAAATAATTTGAGTACTTGTTTGTAAATCTGCCTATAGTATGAAATATTATTAAGAACAATTCATAAATTATATATACATGTGTATAATTATTATATGATATTATAAGTTATTATTTTATATTTCTTATAGATACATTATAATAGCTAAGCCAACCTATTAACATTAATTCAAATTTAAATAAGGCTTATTTGATATTTGAAATATAGGAACACATTACTTACTTTGACAGTAATATCTTTGACTAATTGACTACTGCCATTATGCACACAAAGATAGATTGAAAATATTTCACCTAAATAAATGTTCCTGAAAATATATATGTATAACTTTAACATTAAATTATTTCTATAGTTAAACTGAAATGTGTTTTAAAGCATTGATAAATCTGAAATTTAATTTTAATAACAGTAATTGATATACAAGTATAAACATACCCGAAACTTTGTGGTAATACCATAAATTGACCTACTGCAAGAGTTTCCATTCCTTGCAAAGCAGTACAATCATTTTTAAGTTCATTATTTAATGTATTGCCAGGGAGGTCTGTTGAATCACAAGTAACAACTACTGGATTTGCAAGTGTAGGTCGTGTCAATCTCATTACTGAAAACAATATATTAAAGCATGATTATTGGTATCTGTGTTTTTGATATTTGAAAGAAAAAATACACTTTTCTAAATAAATATGATATTACAAAGAAATTGTTTTTGTTACCTTTCAATGCCAGCATATGTTCTCCTTCTGGTTTAGTTTCCATTTGGACTATAAATGATATAAGTGACAAACAAGGTGAAAAAATAAATTTTCGCCGATGTAAAATAACAGTAGCTGTCAAATGTCACTTGGGAAATATAACCTGCGATGTATTTATGTATGTACCATTCGATTCGATTCGACTTATCAAATCGATAGTTTAACCAAAGAATTACCAATTAAATCAATAAATCAATTAACAGATTACTTTTTAAAACAATTTAATTCTTCTTGTACTATTCGTGATATGGTCTCAATAAATTTAGTAACAGTCATTAAATAAATACAAATTTGAAAAAATTACAACGCAAATAGAAAGAATAGTACTATTATACGTTCTTAAAAAATTTATAAATAATACATCGAATTTTGTATGACAGAGGAAGTTCAAACATTATTAAAAAACAGTGAAAGGAAAATAACATTAAAAATGTTATTTAATTTAGAATGAATGATTGGTTTAAAATGTCAAAAGAGGGCGTATTAAAGAATATGTCAACTCGCAATATCAAATGAACGTATCTAATATATTTGTAAGTCAAAGATTGTCACTTATCTTTTAAAATTATAACGATATTTGAACTAAAAGTTTGGTTTGTTTTTAGTGTTCCTTTTTAAATATTTTTAGTTAGGTTAATATTTAACTCATTGAAAATAGTTCATAATCACAGCTATTATATTGTATAAACTTAAGTACTCCTTTACTAAGCAATAGTAGATCTGTGATCATTATTATGATAAATTGTGTTATCAAATACAGTTACAAACCTTGTACGAATATAAGATTTTGCACTCTGCATATGTACGTATTCAATCAACAAATAAAACGATATGTTCTTATGGAATGGCGGAATTGCATATAATTGGGCAAATTTCGTCTGCAAAAGATTTTAAACAACCACGTCTTCTGTGCAAGTGGAGTTTTCATGCTGGTACTGTAATTATTTACCATTGTATATATAATCAATAATATATTCATTACACTAGAAGCACTAATATTTTTGTTTCTATTACAGGGAATGGTTGGAAAGTTTTAAACGGTTATGAAGAAGGACAAACACAAGAAAGTTGTGATTTATATACTAATGAACCAATTTGGGATCATCCTATAGATTTACATTATACAACACAAACACTGCAAAGTTCACCAAAACTTTTATTGCAAATATTTTGTAGAGACTCCCATGAAAGAATATTATTTACATCTTATGGCGTTTGTAATATTCCATTATCTCCTGGATTTCATTCTATAGAGTGTCACACATGGAAACCTATTGGTAAGTATAGTATTTTCTAAGAAACTATTGTATATGTTTCTATATTTTGTATATATTATATTTTTATATGATCATTTATTCAGGTAATTGGAAAGATAGGCTCAGGGATAGATTTTTGGGAATAACTTTACAGTTAAAGTCACCAAGTGTTTTAGTTAACTCTTTAGATAGGTTTGAGTTACTTACACAAAGCATGGGTACAGTGAAGATCGAATTGCACATACTTGCTCAAAATTTTGAAAAATATGGATGTCATTTGTGAATATATATTATGATAATTTGCTTTATTGCCAAAGAATATTGAGTAGTATTTAAAACTAACAAAATGTTTATAACAAGATTTGTATTGATGTTTTTTTATTTAACGTGTAATGAAATCATATTCACAAAGAAAATTGAAGAAATATTTACATGTGCGAATGAAACAGAATGCGATGAGCTAGTAGAAAAAGATACATTAGAAGAATCACTTAGTACTACAGCTGAAAGTCTTCGTAATTCAACTAGTGCTGACACTAGTAATTTTGCATATACAACACAAATTACAAAAATCCAAACATTACCAACTATGGAAACACCCCATAAAGTTGAGTATAATAATGGAACAAGAAATTTCACTGTAAATAGAATACAGTCTGATGTATGCGAATGTGATTTAACAGTGAGTTTATATGTTTTGTGGTTATTTATATTCAATTTAACTCCTCACAGCAAGAATCTTCTCTTAAAAATGTATTAATAGAAATTATGGGAAAAATGTTGACAAGTAATAATACTTTTATTTGTATATACATATTTTTAAGAACAATAGGTTGTGACATGTATGCTATAGTACGAAGTTAAAAGACTGGTAGTCCCATATATGACATGTTATGTTGTAAGGAGTTAAAATATTGTATGCTATTAATAACATTAATTTCATTTTAATCTCTTTACACAACAGACATCATCTTGTGACATCAATTGCTGTTGTGACACGGATTGTAATGATTTTCATTTAACAGTTTTTTCACATTGTGAAAATCACCAGGCAGAATTATATGATAAACGTTACTGTTACACTAAAAATTTTATAGAACGAAATAATACACCATTTATACTTGAAAAATTGGCAAACAATCTTTTTTGTATTTTATATGACAATCTTCCACCTACATACAATGATAATAATAATTTGGTAAGACTTTAAAATATGAAAAACTAAATGATATTAAATGATACTTGATATGTTATAAATTAAATTCCTTTAGATTATAATTATATTATAAATGTTTTATTTCGTATAGGATATACAGACTGAGAAAGATTTAAGAGAAGCGATGAACCCAAATAGATTGAAATGGAAGTGGGAAGACCAATTACATGTACCTGAATATACTACTTCTAGTCCTTATCAAGATGGTGACATTATATGGAGAATATATAACAATTATATTCAACCTTTTGGTATATATTATTATCTATATAACATTATCATTATAAATATTATATTACGATTTCATTGAAAAGTACTTTATTATGATGCAGAACTTCTACAGTCTGGCTTCACTGAGTTGTGTGCATTCAAGAAAACCTTAAAATATCTTCGTGAGTGGAAAGAACAATGCTTACAAACTGATTTGATTAATACCAACCAGTATCTTTTTCCAATGGCATTTAATAATTTTACTATTATTACTTCTCCTCATTTGTTAAATGCAACCTATATTGGCATGTCAGATCAGGTACTAATACAATAGAGATATTTTAATCAGTATAAAAGAATTTTTTAGATACAATTAAAAAATTTAATATTCATCAATGCATGTTTTTTGTATTTTAAGAACTCATAACATTGAAATTTTCCACTTACAGGTTTGTCCCAAGAATGTGTGTTTAACATTAACTAATTACTATTGTAAGCATTCTTGGCAAGCATGTAATACAACAATCATATCAGGATCTTGTTTCAATGGTACATGTTACAACATTGTAACAGGTGTAAAATATTTGATTGTTCACAATGGTACTATGGGAATTAACAGCATTAATGTATATTTTAATATAGATAACGTTTCTCGAAGTTTTTATCAACAATTTGAGGTAGTTTATGAATGGGTTGAACTGGATAAAGAAAAAAGTTTTTCTCTTAGTGGTAATCCTGGTTATATTTTGGGGAAGCCACTTATTATTGGTACTTTAAATATAAATAAGACTAATAACGCGAAGACTATCAATTTTAATAAAACTGATAGCTTTTTAACATTGCCTATAGCTAGAAAAGGTGGTGAATGTAACGAAACAACTAGATATACTCTTGCCTTTGGAGAAGATGTTAAATTAAGATGTTCCGTATCTTTACCTATCAATAACTTTAATACATCGTCTTGTACAGAATTACAAAATCGCACTATGCATTTCTTGATGAAGGATTCTTTGTTTAATGTTACTCAGACTAATCAATATAGTATTTATGTTTCAAAGTCAGGCAATTTTACTAAAAATAATACAGCTGATTGGGCACAAATTTTACTTGATAGAGTACCTCAAAATATTGTGACAGGGAAATTAATTAATGACCGTTTACAGTGTTTAGGATTAATAACTTCAATACACTTAAATGTTTTGTATTCTGCCTTAAAGAAACCTGAGAGTTTGACTAATTATAATATATTAGGAGTAGGTATTAATTTTTCTAACGAATCTAACGTATCATGGTCAACATGTTCAACTAAAAATTGTACAAACATACTTAAAGTAGATATCGTTAGTTACGTTACATTTCATGATGTGTCGAGGCCGTCCAAATATTACTTTGTAGGAGGTCCTAATTTGGATCTCACCTTACCGTATGATTTTTTTTATCCTTTTCTAAGTAGTTCAAAGTGTATTACATCAAGTATATTTTTAATAAGCAGTGTGGTGACCATAGTAATTTTACACAGTTCCTTTTATTGATCTCATGTAATTATTACATAGGTGTACATTTTTGAGAAAGTAGTCAAAATATGTATAACAATGTAAATTAAAATATATACTGACAGTATATCAAAAATAATTTTATGTCTGTATATGATGGAATGAAAAGTTTAATAAAGTACAACTGCTATTTTATAACGATATTTCAATAATGCTAAATATATATTTAAAATAAATGAATGTAAATTAATGCATTCTATGATATTTTAGTATACTTTATTTTACTGTTATAATATTTAACTTACTTTTAATGTCATCCATTTTAAATTATTTTGTTTAACATAGTTATTAAAAAGTGTTATGTAATTATTTAAATTACTTTCATAATTTATATTTGCCGTAACTATCGAATTACAGAAAATGAAGTTTAATTTAAAACAGTTTGAAAGTATAAATTTCGTATTTAAATTTAATCCGTTCAATTATTTATAGTTTCTATATTGCATACTAATCGTTATTACAATTTTAATCAATAACAAATAGAAGAGAAAATAACCATTTTCTTTATTAAACCTTCATGTTATATTAATTAAAATGGTATTTCAAATTGTACTTAACTCAGTATTGAATATATTTGAAAAAAATTGTTCCGACACAGACGAAAATTTACTAATAAAATTTCAACCAATGAGAAAAATTTGTTTAAATCGTTTGCCAATCGCGTGTGCTTCCATTCTTCTCTAAAATCTCACAGTGTAAACTTGGTACTAACTCCTGCAACCGTCGTGATGCACTATGGGACGTTGGGTTGTGCTTCGCTCCAATACAAGATGGCTGACACTTGTTAGTAGTGTATTTTCGTTTGATCGAATGTACATTTTTATAAAAAAAATTAGTGCCTTCGTATCCGCGTATGGTGCACGCACGTTTGTATAATTAACACAAGAGAGATCTTCCTTTTTTACCGAATAGTTGCCTTATCATGTATTATCAGGAGACATCAAAATGTGCCGTGAAAGTGCTAGAGGCAGAATAATTACCCGTCATCAGCCATGTTCATATGTGTTCTTTTGTTATGACAATTGTGATATAATTCTCGTGGAATATAGTGCCAAGGTGAAGTGATATCTCGCTTTGTTGCGCTTCTACTCTGTCTCTGGTGTTTCTCACAAGATTCGTTTCACTACGAAATAAATTAAATGAAAGGTATGTATTTACTCTATCGTCTTTGGTACGCCTATCCGCGAGTCATTCTTGAAACCTTATATCCGTGTAATTTCTTTTTTTTCGATTGCCTTTTTTTCGTTTCTTCGTGCTTACAATACATGAGAACCGACTGACCTATTAACCTGTTATATCGATTAACATGATGTCATGTACGGTTTCTTAGTTTCTCTCTGACATATTCTTTAAATTTTGGTCGCTGTCACATACTGTTTTACATTTTCTTGGAATTGGACAGTTTCTAATCGCACGTTCTGCAATAGTCGTTGTTAAGACATGACGGGCAATTGAAACGAAGCATTGATTTCTAATATCGGTTTAAAATAATTCTTACCCTTATTAACAATTCGATAGTTTACGATATTTAACATGAAAAAAGTTGCGATTCTGAAACGAGAATGAGCAAACTAAACATGGCAGTAACATTGGTAATTAAATTTAATCATAATGCGCTATTAGATGGAAGTTACTCCATCTTAATCTGATTTGCCCTTAAAACATTATTTTTTCGTAAAGTACGTTCGAAATAAATAATTGCGAAACTTATAACATTATACTTAAGTATTGGTTCTTATATATTTGATAATATATAAGGATTATTAAACGATGTATTATTATTAAATTTGGTTTTTCATAGATCCGAAAACAGTTTATATGATACATAAAAATACAATTTCTTTTATTAATAATATGTTGAGCGTTGTATTGGAGATATTATAAAATATGAATTAAAATGGTAAAATTATTCTAACAAATTTGATCAACGATAAACAGCATTTCATTATTTCTTTATACACTGTTTTCGTTGTTCATAAGATAAAAATTTATCATTTGTAGTACCTGTATATCGATTACAAGATGGTTATTTCGAAAAAATGAGGCGATAAATCGGTAATCTCGATATTATTTTAATGTAATAATAATCAAGAAAATTGGTCGAATTATCATTACTGTGTACGATTTTTTTTAAATTGGCCGTGAGAGGCATTCGACTCACGTCTGACACGAAGCATGTAAATCACAAATGAAGTTACGACTAAAATATTAACCAAACTTACATCGACCTGTCCTTGCCACATACATTTTTATGCATTTTAAGTAAAATAAAAATTTTCTTTCTTTACATTATGTTATAATTACGAGGAGTCCTTTATAGCAGGGGTGACCAACTTCCGTATATGTGTATGTATATGATCGACTTTTCTACTAAAATCTTGACATTCAACACATTCAAATGTTTGTGTGTTGAAATCGTTTTCTATCGGCTGTGATCGGCTAAAAATCGCTTCGCTATTTACTTGTTGGCCGAAATTGTGCGTATATGACAGTCTCAATAAACTTAACGTAACCACATTCGATGTATACGAAAATGTAAACAGGTTCTATTTCCCAGATACGATGATATTTTTATTAAAAAAGATAAAAATTATTTCTTATACAGTAAGATAAATCATGTTTCGAGTTATATATTATCTTAGATCTAAATCTATTAATCCGTCAATGGCTATATTTAGATGTTTTGGAGAACATTCGCATAACAGAAATTTAATTGCGTGTAAATTTTCTCGTCCTTGATGAAACTGGGCATCCGAGTGTTATACATCGAGTGCATTAACTCCTTTCAACGCATTGATGTTAGTGTACCATTTACACAGAATAAATTATCGTATAATTAATTTTAAATAACGTTTCACTATTTTGTGTTTATATACAAAGAAATTTTATATATCGAATATATTTTAAATAATTAATATCATACATTGCTTAACATATTAACGATTGACGAGAATCGACATGTGCAATTTCAAATTTACAACGGGGAACGAGGATATTTTTTATAGCGACAAAAACAATTTTCTGTTTAAGTCATTAAAAATCGGTTGTATTTGCATTTTATTAATTGAGGAGAATGTACAGAACTGTAAAATTCCTAACTTCTTATCGAAAAATTATTATTAATTTATTCCCTTTTGGTTACAAATATATACACAAAACAAGGATAAGAAAAAAAGTTTAATTTTGATCTCCTAATTGTAATTGTGCGAGCATGATAAACGTTCTGGCGTATTAAGCTCGTACTCGAAGGAGTATAGTATGTAGAATGTTAACTGTTAACACGAACTAATCATATCTCGCTGATGTACCAATGAGTTTTCGTTATCGACATATAACGAAAATAATAATTTACTTAAATTATTTACAATGCACCAAATATACATGTTGTTCATCCACCCGTGGGAAAAATTTTAATGGGAGATTCTGGAGGTCAAAATAAGACGAAAATCAAGAATACCAATTTGTTAATTGAGGCTTCGTTAAAAAGTTATTAACGTTTAAAGTTACGCCTGTAGATAGGCAACCTGCGAACAGCTGCATATACGTGATAGTGGTTCTCACTCACAAAACTGTAAGACTGTCGATACGTCAGTAAGTAGAGTTTTTATCACTATCGCGCGTGCGCAGCAGTTCGCAGATCGCCGTTCTACAGGCGGAACTTTAAACGTTAGTAACTTTTTAACGAAGCTTTCATCAACAAGTTGCTATTCTTGATTTTTGTCTCATTTTGGCCCCTAGAATCTCCCATTAAAATTTTTCCCACGGGTGGCTGAACACCCTTCATAAAGAATCAAGTATTGATATTGTTACACACGATATCCCTCTAGAAACATGTAATTTGTAAGTTCTATAACTATTTTCTACGCAGATAATAAGTATTTGCAAAAGTTATGTCTTGCTCTTTAACAAATTAATCCGGTCTAATAACGAAATTCAAATATTATCTCGATAAATAATAATCTTGATGCTTGAGACAACGAATCTCTCTTATTCCGTTTCATTTTATCAAGTAAGTTATTTGAGACGAGGAATTGTCCTCTATTTGTTTATAACGACGAGCAATAGTCCTAAAATAGTGTACAATACACGCAGGCCTTTGAAATATTGGATGTCGCGACAGTAAATAATAATTAAGCATCAATGTAAATTCTGCGCGACTACGAGCTTATGATAGTAAACAGCAAACGACAGAGACAATCTCGTTGATGAGGGGAAATTATTATTTATTAGCATCGTACGCGGTAAATGATCGAACATCCTGAATTAATTAAGAAGTAATTGAATTTCAAAGTATAACAATTATTTCAACTAGGATACTTTTTTTTTAACTAATTCGAAAATTGTATCCAACCTTCTTGATTTCTTTAAAAAAGACTTAAAAAGAGTAAAAATAATTTCACTTGTGTCAGTCTGCATATTGCAACATCGCTTTGTAATAAGCTTAGATATTATGCTATTAGATCACATCTAACTCGAGAAATTGCACCATAAACATAAAATACCCATTAAAAGGTATTTATTTCTATTAAACATATTTCATTAACGTTGTATGTATTCAATAACTCGCCAAAACTTGTCTATTTTATATACTGTTAGGTTTCTCGGTTTCCCATGCCTGAAGAAGCAATGATGCAGCCAATAGTCTTCAAAAGCCCTACAAAATCAATGTCTGTCGTCAGCTATACGTATATTCTTCCTCTTATACGTTTCCGTGCAAAAATGCCGCAGCACTGTACCCACAAAATAATAAAAAAGTTTCGCTCATAATTATTCAAAAATTTCTAAACATACCTTTGCAATTATTTTACGATTCAATATTATCACATAAATAAATTTTCAAGATTGCTGATTTATGTGCATACGATTAATTCCTGATACAGATTTCGAAACGTACCCATTACTCATTGAAAATTTCAATAATGGTTTTTCTCATTACTTTAATCATTCAATGATTGAGGTTTCTTTTTTAAAAATCAAAA